CTAGGTATGAATGGGTTTTTTATGTGGATAATTTACAAGAATTGTTCAACATTTCATGTCACATTGATCAATTCTGGTATTGAAAGGGTAAGACAGTCTGCAACATTCTCTGCAGATTAGAGCCTTGTACCTTGTTTGACATTCAGCAGTGTAAGATCCTCAATAAATGATGTCATAATAATGGAGATGTCATCAGAACAGACTGAAATTTTCTATCAAACAGAAAAGCAAAAAAGATGCAGTGTCAAAGCTTTTATGCACAAACTTGTGCTTATAATTTACAAGTAAATTGTATACATATATCAACAGTAAATTATAAGAATGTTGCACAAAAGATCAAAGCAAAATTCTAGTAACAGATAAGACCCCAAAATAATCCTTGCACATTATAAGTATATTTTCATGATGTTATCATTATATTAACTCAAGTCATCCCAAACATTCTTTTATTTTTGCAAAGCTGTCAAAAGAGAGGACCATTCCTGTGAGGAAGAGAGAAACCTTAAACCTTTCACCTCTACAAGTAACTAGCCTCTAATTTCTCTTTACAATATCATCCCTGAATCAACATTAAGGTCATAAGAATATAAGAAACAATCACCAACTAAAAAATCTCTTGATTGTGAAACAAAATTCTCCTTGTTATCACCTCAGGAATATTAAGAGGAAAGTGAGGAGAATCTGCACACTGATGTTAGGGCGTGAAGGGTTAAACTAAAGAAGTAAGATTATGCTTTTTTTTAAACTACTATTTGAAGCACCAGTTAAAATTTATACAGTACTAGTTGAGACCCAAGTCAGTAAAACAAACCTGTACAACTTCTTTGAGCACAGCTACATCAAAACCACCCAGGTACTGGACAAAATACCGCTGCAATACTGATACATATTTCTGGATTATGCCTTATAGAAAGAAAAAAGATTAAACCCAATTTAATGACCTTGTTTAACCCTCAGCCTTTCATAAATTTCTAAATGAATAAAGGGGTAAGTTTCTAAAGAAACTGTGGTGCTGTGTCAGTGGAAGAGTATAGCAGGTAATTTAGTGTTAACAACTGAGTTGAAAACGTAAATTAGCGATCGTTTCAATCGCTCTGACGAAGTGCTAACGCTTGAAATGTCAGCTTTTTTACCCTTTACGGTGGCTAATTTACATTTTCAACTCAGTTGTTAACACTAAATCACCTTTCATAAATTTCATTTGGTAAAAAATTTTAACTTTTAACCCTTAAAAAAAACTTTAAGATGAGAATCTAATTTCTCACAACAGAATTGCCCCTGAATCAAACATGAAGGTTATGAGTAAAAGAAAATTATTTAAAACTCAAGAAACTCTTGATTGTTAGACAAATTCTCTTAGTTTAAGTACCATAGGAAATGTACAGAGAACAGTAAGGAGAACTTGCATACTGATGTTAGGATGTAAAGGGTTAAGGTGACATGGACAAGGATAAAGTGACCTGATTTCTTACCTCTTACTTCTTCCACATAAAGCAGCAACTGAGGTAATTTACTGACACAGAGAGGGAGTGTGGTAAAGATAAAACATAAAAATTAGCTACACAGAAAAACTAGCACAGAGAATGTTAAAAAAAGCCTGCACTTTTACCAGTGCTTACACCTGTGCCAGTACTTGCAGTACAAGCTGCTTTGCCAAGCTAATGATAAAACCAACTCAGTCTTAACAAGAAGTTTTCCACTTGCCCGACCCATAAACCCATCACCTGACTAGTCCAAGTATTGCTACCCAGACATTATTCACCCTAAAGGTCAACAATTTAGTTCAGAGCATGGTTATTGCCATGCCTGTGCAAGCTCTAGGAGCTGTAAGTCAGTGCAGGATGTTACGCATGAATAAGTGTATATCACCCACTCCATACAGAACACAACCGTCTCCAGAGGCAGTCTATTGGTTTCCAAACTGTCTAGAAATGTGACAGTTATTTTCATTAAGTTGGTACTAGTTTTTTTCTCACTTGTCAACATAGTCTTCTTGGTTCAATTTCCTCCCTTTTGGTGGTGGATTACAGGTGTGCCTCACAAGCCACATGATCTCATCTCTTGTCATGCTTAATGCTTGAAGCACAACAATGATCTGTTGACAGAAAAAAAAAATGCATTTTAAAGGTAAAAATATGCTTCAAAGAATGCAGGCCTTTGTTGTCGAGGAGACTGTCAGTATCCAAGGTGATTAACTTTTGCTTCTGCTGGGCAACTCATGAATCTTTGCCTCTACAAAGTCTCTTAAAAATGGACATCTAAGATTTCTTACAATTAAGAGTTTTCAGGTACACTGTTAATCTTTTCCAAACAAAGCTTGGAAATAAGATTTTTTTTCTTGCTAACACCAAATTCTATCTAAATAAACTAAACTGTAAGTTACAATATGTAATCCTCAGTGCAAAATCTACCTTGGGTCCCAAAAGGCCTGGTTGATCAGAAAGAATTAGAGACATTTCTCTCAATGCAGTTCTAAGGTAGTTACGACGTTCCTTGTGAATTGGTCCTCTGTCAACAGGAAACAACACAAATATAATAAAATAGGCATAAATGCAGTACTAACAGGCACAAGCCAGAGAATGTTGTTATCAAATATTTTCTGTTGTAGATGAAAATAATATTTAAGGAAACAATTATATCTGACAACAGTATAACAAAGTTATTAATCAATTCATGATACCCTGAGTAACTTTGCACTGAATACCTTAATGCAGATAATAAATTTGCTTTGTTAAACTACACTCAATTACCTTGTTGTTAATGCATGCGTCATAGCATCTTGAATATCTTTGACACGCTTGCCATACCTGGAAAACAAAATTAACAGACAGTAAAAAGCATATATTCTCATTGGGTTAAACCACTTCAGCTTGCTTTCTTTCCTTTGTCTAAAAATTATAGAAATGAATCAGCAAAAAAAGAGAATCCTTTTTAAATTGACAAGTTAAGAAAATTTTCAACTAAGAAAAATTTGGGAAAACACTCGAAAAGAAAAATTGTCACAACCACAAGATGTGAAAGACTGTCATAAAGATCTCCAAGTTATATATAATATGCAGATATAAATCCTGTGTAACATAATGCTTTGAGTGAATTTTGATCTAACATGAAATTCTCCTTCTGTTTCATATGGCAATACAAGAAAATTTGGATGGAGAATTCGGCAAGCTATCACATGCCACTTGGGACTTTTAAACACAAACTCCTTCAATTCTTTGAGGCAACAAAAAAAGTTGCAGATCTTTTTATCTCACCCTTTCATCCCATCTAGTAAATTTTGAAACTCCTTGTGATACATAATGACTTCATCGCGGAACAAAGTAACACAGTAACCATCTTGTAAAGCAATCTTCCACATGTCTGTCACACCAGGCATAGCAAGTTGCTGATGACAAAGTGTGTATCCAACTATAGAGCAAAAAAAAAAAAATCATACATAATTCCTTATGACAGTCAACTGAACATGAAGACATTCCAGCTGACCTAAGATTCAGCTCCCAAAGGAAAAAAAATAACTTCAATTAGTGGGACTACAATAAGGTAAATTATTAATAAATATTTCTAATGAAATAAAATCATTTGTGTAGACACTTACACAATATCCACTTCTGCATTCTGTCCAGTGAAAGGTACTCCACAGGAGGCTGCAAAAGCAAAGTGTCATGTAAGTTGTAGATCCAATGTGACCTCAGTATTCAACCTGGTTTACTAATTGATGTGATAATTATTTCATCTTACATTTGTTATTTAACCCAATTTGATTTGTAGCAAACCATGTACTGTATAATTATGTCTTCAAGAGGAATCATTCAAAAATTCAATTAGTGGTCATTCACTGCCAATTAAGATCTGACAATTATCTCTGTCTGTAAAATGATGATCATAGATTCCTTTATCAAATGTAGCTTAGAATTTGGCGTTTTAACAGTGTCAGTAATGATGCCTAGTTCATATTATTTCCATTGTCATTAAATGTCTGCTTGTATATCAAAATAGTTAAAAGAATAATCACTTTTAATGTTGTGATGGTTAAACTGGATGAACAACAGCTGAGACATGTGAAGAAACTTAAACACAATACTTACCACATCACTGGTGACTGGATTGAGCATCTGTAATGGAGCACTGATGATGCTAACAATCTGTGTTTGACGCCACTAAGGATTTAAATCAAAACCTCATTCACCCAAAAAATAACTAAAACTTTTAACATGTGTATCTGAAGCAATTCGAGCAAGAATTCTCCTCTGCTCATTAACATCATTCCTCCAAATAAGACTCACCTGTTCTCCTGGAGTATTTCTCCTCAAATAGATCTCATGAACTGAGTGGAGGGCAGTTGACACTCTCTGCAACAGATTAAGAAAATGCTTTGAGCCTAAGAGTACCAGTTACAGTGCAGTAAACTTTCCAAAACAATCACTTAATATAATCCATCAATCAAAAAATCCATCACTCTCACTTGAATGTCAACAGAATGAAAACACAGCAATAAAATTAACACTAGAACAAATATTTTTAAAGTAGACTTGAATATGTTGGCTGGTTTTAAAATAAGGATCATCAATATCTAACCTGTTGATGTGGAACAAATTGCTCAGCAATTTTTTTCAATGGACTTTCATATTCAACAATCATAGACCCCAGTCGTGGAAAGGAATCTTCCCTACAAAAAAGTGTACAATAAAATGAAATAAGTTTAAACTTGGCAAGTTAATGACTATGTGAGGGGAAATCACCAGTTGAGTATTTACATGATATTTCCTGTGCCTTAGGCATGTCAATTAATCATTAAAAATAAAACAGATGGGTACACTAAAGTTGTCACAAGTAATAGCCAATAGTTTTTAACAATTTTCCTTTTCTTTCATCTTCCTTGATTCTGTCCAAAAGACTTATCAGGCATGAGAAGTTACAAGTTGAAATGATTTTTGAAAAACAAAGTTTTGAGTCTACACCCTCCCTCTTGCTGAGAGAACATGTACACTGTACCTGCTGAGTGTGTAATGCCCCATTCACACCAAAGCTTAAACATGTTTAAAAACTATTTAACCGAATATTTTTGACTTGAATGTAGCACATTGGAAATGCAAGTTAGCAAGTACTTGAATCCAATGGAAAATCAAGTTTTTCAGTTCTCTGTTTATAATTTTCATTCAATGAAAACCAGTTTAACAAAACATGTTTTGCTGGTGTGAATGGGGTATAAATCTACCTACCCTCTGCCATTCTTCATTTCATAGGCATGATTAAACAGACCCAAGACAGCTTTGCGATCATCCACTCGGGCAACCAGCATCATAAGTGTGGCATAGGTAACAATCACATCCAAATAAGCCTTTGTCAAGTCATAGTTTAACGCCTACAAAAGGTGACATTAAAATAGTTTAACCCTTTAACTCTCATGAGTGACCAAGACATAATTTCTCCGCACAATATCAATACAATATCAAGCAGATAAGTGATGAGAATACCGAAATTGTATGTTTGACAGTAAGGAGAATTGCAAATTTGATCTGGGAGTTATTATTATTATTATTATTATTATTATTATTATTATTATTATTATTATTATTATTATTATAATTATTACCATAGACATTCACCTTTTTTCCAAACAAGGAAATGGGTTGAAGCTAACACACTGAACAGAAACTGTGCAAGATTGAGTTGTTGATTTTTCAGTAACATAGGTAATGTGTACTTATACAAAATAAATTTATGTCCCAAGAGTTGACATTATCCTTAACTTCCACAAATCTCTTTTCAATTACTTTGTGTTTGTATTGAAATATAGAAAGAAAAAAATGCATTGTCAAGAAAACAGGAGTAAAATATTGGAAAAACTGAGAAGGCACTTACAATGTCAAAATGTACAAAACTAGCATCAATCTCTGTTAGGAGCTCACTGGTGTTATCCTGAATCAAAATGAATTAAACAATAATTAGAATCAAACAAACAATTATTTCGTGGCTATGGTCATCAAAATGATCATAGAATTAAGTTATTGTTGTTGATAATAACAGCAACAACAGAGTATTTGTGTAAACTTGAAAACACTGTCTACAGATGTTGTTTATGATACAGTCACTTCAAAATTTGATTGAAATGATGATGAAATGATCAGCACTCAAAAGAAGTGAGGATCACTGTTGTCTAAGAAATTTGAAATGTGGCTTTTTAAGCATGTCACACACGCTGGTTGATAAGCATCAATATAATTATAAAGCATCAGTAAAACTTACTCTGAATTCCATAACATCCACAAATGTATAATAATAATTAGACAGTCCTTTGATAACCTCATTCTGGATGCTGTGAACTGGTTGAAGTGCAACACTCTAAACAATGACAAGAAGAATAGAATTCTAGTGTCATGGAAACATCACAAAAAACCTAAGAAAATCGTATCAATTTGAACAGTACATGCATAAAAAACTTTCTCCTCAAAACTAAATGCAGTGCCTCTAGTGGTTTAAACTTAAATAACTTTAATTTGTAATAATGGAGAAGTGTACCTTGGTGTCTGTTACGGGAAATTTCTTTACAATGGCCTTGATTGCTGGATCCAGTGCTTTGTCAGTCAAAAAGCCTGGCCTTGATTTTGAATCAGAACATGCCTTGAAAATCACAAAAAGAACACAAAAACAATTACACAGACAATAACTACGTACATCAAGGGTTTGATGCCTGCTGGTCGCATAACAGATCACACTTTACTCCTGCAACATCAAACACTTTTGTCACATTTCCAATCCTTTGTGGATATTTCAATTGTACACGTTCAGCCTAAACACCAAGTTTACGTCCTAATCTTGGATGATTTTGTGTGAATAAATGAACCATCACCTTAGGAAAAACATTCGTGATAAGCATCTTTTAAAGAAACAGAAAAGCTACGATAAAAGGCGGGAGGAAATGTTTAACCATAGAACCAATTCGAAAGCACTCAATTCACCACAGGCGAGCTATAAACAGCTGATCTTGTTCAATGTTAAGACATGAAGCTCTCAAAGGGGCTCTAGTCTGCTTTAGTTTGTATAGCAGCATTTATCAGGAGTACATGGGCAGCAAAGTAAGGTTAACTTAGAGAACAACGTGCTATTTCTGACCCTTACTTTCTTGATGTTGTAAATTCGAGTGAGCATTCCAATTCCACGATCATTCAAAATCGTCAACTTTTCTGCCAGCCTCTGCTCTGTTACCGAAACTCCCCGATCCATATTTCAATTTTTTGTAGACTTTAACTTCTTTCAACCTTCTTGGATGTACTTTCCGTGGATCATTACGAATTTTAAACTGTTTTGGAGTGTGTTTATAATGACACGGTAGGAATGTTGTGACAGGGAGGAGGAAGGGATGAAACCAACCCTAGAGCCCGCTATACCGATGCGGTTAGTGTTAGCTTCCTGTACAGCGTCGTGTAAAATACCGACCATATCGCAGCTCCCGATGGGTAGAAATCGGTGGCGACCATCTACCGACTGTGGACGACACATCGATCGACGAGTGGACGGTAATTTATTCTAAGGCTGTTACGAATACCCATAATACTACAAGTGACACGATTTTTCCCTCCTTCATGATCTTATGCATTTCTGCAATCGATACTGTTCCAATTACCCGCGGCCCAGTGGGTCTCTGGTCCTCAGTCAGCTGGCCCTCTATCGAGGAGATCGGAGATTTTAAGAGCACCGTCTCCAATACACTCTTAAGCGGAATAAAAAGAGACTGTTTCTTCACGTGACTTCTGTATTTATTCATTCTCAAGGCTTGACGCTTCAATTCTACATACAAACAGGGTCCAGGAAATTCACTCAATCAAACGAATGAAGAAATGAAAACTAGCGCTTTGGGACTTACTAAAATTCGGGACGAGCGCATAGGATTGTTTTTGGTTTCTTTTTTGAAACTCTGAACGTAACTTCGGACCGGATAACATGGGACTCATCATTTGACAAATTTACATTGAAATATTAAGACTGTTTTGAACAGAACTAGATCTACAGGGATGAGGTCCTTCCATTAGTCGTCTAAGCTTGAAGGCGAAATTCAGATGAGTAGATGTTTCTGAAGGGCTTTTTGCTATTGCCCTTGCGACTATCACGTGCATCTTGTTGTTAAAAACATTTGAATGACTTACTTAGGCTACAAAATTGCTAAAATTCAGCATTCCTTTTCATTGTAAATTTGTTTGCGAGGTTTGCGCGTTTCCTCTTTTTCGCGCAATGGGGAGAAATAGCAGACCAATTAGACATAAAAATATGGCTCCACTTGCAGCCACGAAAATCACCGCCGGAGTAACATCTGGAATCGAATCTTGTACCGAAGCTGAAAAAATGTAAACAACAAACTAAGTGAATACATCATTCTCACCGTAATAAGACATTTTGACCATGTAGACTCTGAATGACATTTTTTGTACCTGATGAATACAGTTTTACTTACTCACTAAGTTATAGAGAATTTAAAAAAGTGGATATTAAAGGAAGAAAATTGCTAGCTCATTTGTTGATGAATTATTAGCGAAGAGCGGTGAAGTGAAAGAAAAGAAAAAAAGAAGGGGGTAGTTTCGCAGCTGTCGTCGTAATCTCCATCCTTTATAATCTTCTGTATGTTTGTTTTTTTTCTCGTTTGTTTTCATTTTCCTTTTTTCCTTTCCTTTTTTATTCTTAATTTGTCACACTCGAAAGCATAAAAAGGGAGGTGGGGCTGAAGTGGGGCCTCTCGTCTGTTTTCGCTATTTTTCTTGTTTGGGGCATAGCAGCCGTTTTAGTTTGGCGTGTGTCACTGTCTTTAAAGGGAAATTCTCTCTTTGATTTTCTTTCACATCATTAGCCAATGTAATTTTGAAAGTTCCAACCTTAAAAGGCCAGCAACCTGAACCTAATAAGGATTTACACTCATGAACATGATTATACCTTTGGTGGATTTCTTGTGCAGTGCCTGATCATGTGTTTTGTTCCCTGTTGAATTCATCGCATTGGGTTCCACTTTACTCGCTGCAATATCATCTTGAATTTTAACAGTGTGTATACTCCACATTCCGTTTGGGTGAACGTAATATTTCGCATCATCACCTGGTAAATCGTTCCCCTCTTTTCGGTGATTACTACCTGGAATGTCTTGTCGAGGAAAATTTTCCCCGCCGTTAATAGGCCTGTCTATTAAGAGTTTTTGAGCTGGTTGAGAAGTGGGTTTGATAAGTGAGATGCAAATTCCTACAGGATGCTGATAAGAAGCACTAGCTAAATTGCATTTTAATCCCTTTCCACAGCGGCCGACGACATAACCCTTGCCACCACAAGTCTGACCTGCAAAACACAAACAAATGAGCTGTGAAAAAGATCTCAAACATTCATTTAACCATTTTTTAAAAGGCGAACGTGTGAAGTTTGTCACTGAAGTCCAAAACAGTTCATTGAATGATACAATCTAACACCAAAAAGTAGGAAAAGCCAGCTGATCAAAATTTGTTTTGAGGCACGATAAGGGTTAATCCACATTTAATTACCATGACAACGTACAGTTTTTGTAATACTGAACCTTAGTGTGGATCAGACGAGTTTTCAGTGAACACCCCGGCCGGTTTTAGGTGTTTTATAATCTGAGGTTTTTCACCAGAGAAAAAAATTTGACAGGACTCGTTTGCTTTCCTAACGCACGGCTTTTAAAAGCAAGATTTAACTACGGCAATATATATGGAACTAGTCTATTCCAGGCCTTCAGCTAGTTGAGAGGAGTGGAAATGCAGGCACGCGAAAAGTGATACGCAGACGCATAGTTTGCGATTACCTGGTAAACAGCTGAACGCAAAAACCATAATTCGCACATTACTTTTTCACTTATCTCCACTAACAGAGAGCTAAAGGAATAATTTTTCGCAGACTTAAATGAATCCGGCAATTTTCCTCTCAATTTTTTTTATAGATTATCAAAAATCGCCGCACAAACGTCTGAAGGAATAGCTCCATTGATGTTTAATTTGCTACAGTCAATTAACATTCGGTCATAGATTTGCTTGTGTTTGGAATTCCAATTAAAACATATTCTCCAGAGTGTCATGCCATAATTTGAGACAAAACCTACCGTTAACCCGAAGACATTTGGTACAACAATTACAGACGTCCATAACGAAACCAAGAGGACAGTTTGTTTCGTTTTTGCAGTCATCTATTGCGCATGGCTTGCATCCCAGAATTCCTCCACCCGTGATTACCGCTTCAGAAATCAAGATCGAGGCGAGACTAATCAGAACATGACCCCATACCAGGGCCAAAGTAGCCTTCTGATGGAAAATGAAACAGTAGGAGATAAAGTTTTACCAGAAAATTCAGTGCCTTTTTACTGAAGACACTGTGGATCAAATGGTGGTTTGGAAGTTTTAATTACCCTCAACTGACAACATTTTAAGTTGATTGTCAGTTAGTTAACCCCATTAAGACCTTCCTTAACCCTTCAACTCCCATAAGTGATCAAGACATAATTTCTCCTTAAAGTATCAATACAATATCAACCAGATAAGTGATGAGAACAAAGAAAAATATCAATTTGGGGATAATTAGTTGATTCGATACTAAATTCTTTGTATGGTTGACAGTAAGGAGAATTTTATCTGGGAGTTAAGGGTTAAGAGGATCAGGTAAATTTTATCGTCACTCGACAATTATTCTTCGAACCCTCCCCTCCCCTCCCCCCCCTCCCCGAGCGGCAAATATTGACTGGTCGAGTCATTAGATGGATATCAGTATGTCAATAAACAGGTCAAATATTTTCAAAACTGTCTGAACATGGAATGAGGCAAATATTACCAACGGACACAGATTGAATGAAAGCCCTTAAAAATATAAACTGTCGTGGTTACAGACGCAAAAGAAAAATTTGGATAACACGCGAAAAAACCTGAAGAAGGATTGTGTTCTTCATACAATCGCGTGCCGGAGACCTGCTGACTGTACCGTTATTAAAAGTCGTAACCTGTTACACATACCAGGCATCAGTTTCGTGTTTTTTTCTTCAGCCCTAACCTGGTAGATTTACCCCCAAAATATTATAGAAGAGGAGTGAGAAGGGGTTCCTATCTTTTTTCAAAAGCCGCAGCTAAAAAAAAAATTGTAAAAGACTAAAGGAAAATGGTACGAGAAAAACGAAGATTTAACCCTCTCGTACTTCCAGTAAACGATATTTGGGAGCGACACCCAAATAATGTTTTGTAAAAATAATTTCTTTGTGCGTTAATATTTGCTAAACTTTTATTTAAAAGAACACGACTTATTGATCGATTTTACTACAATTGCTCTCAGCCAATTTTTCTTTTAGTTCCGGCAGTGATGGGTCATGTTCACCGATATATCATAAAAATCAATCAAATTTTGCAGGTGTGTCTCAAAAGAGTAAACAAAACTAAATATGACTAAAGAGGTATAAATCAAGGTAATTTTCCAACTTAACACTATGAATTTCACTTATTAAACTATTCTTCGTCTCAGCTGGCGCAGTTGATATTCATTCAGTTGAAATAATGTTGTGTCATTGCAAACTGAATTAAAACCAGTGTGATATCAAATCTCGTCGCATTTACCCTGTTTGGTCCACAGTGAAAAATGCCCAGATATTTACTGAATTGTAATGCAAAAATTTTGCAAGTCCCAACTAATGCAAGATGCAACTTAAAAAGCTTAGCCTCTGATAATTTCTAAAGTATATTTAACGCTTGGTTTTGTTCTTACCTTGCACTCCACCGTTGTGTTCGAATGTTGTAACCCACGACATAAACGTTGTGCTGGTTACAAACTTCGAGGTTTGGTTTGTGTTTAGGTTCCTTGGAAGAGCTTTACCCCTCACTTTTAATCAAAGGAGCCTTACAGGAATCTTTAAGTCACTGAACAACTTTAACAACCAAAGCATAGCGAGGACTTTATTGGTAAGAACTGTCCGCCCCTTTCCTGACGGAGCGAGGGATTTTCCTAGCCAAAAGCCGTTCTGGAGTGACAACTGACAGGTTGTTATGAAGAAACACAATGCATGCTCAATGGGCATGACAATTCATTGAAACTGACAGGTGCTATGGGGATGAGATCATCGTTTGAAGGAAGCAGCTACCTAGTCACTGTAAAGCATTCTTTCGCTAAAGTTACAAGCTTGGAGAATTTGGTAGTTTTCGTTGGAGATTTGTGGATATCTTTAAGACCACGGCGATTTCTGCGCACAAAATTGCTGATTTTGTCGTGACACTCAACCCTGAAAGTAATTACGCACACTTTATCTCTTCGACACCTAAGATCTCCCCTCAATTTTCTTTACTCTCTGGCATACATTTGTCACCATTTTACTTCTGAGTATTTGAAGCTAAATCAAACAATTTCACCAGTTGTATGTGATTTCCTTCTCACCACCTTTCCACTAAACAATTTGATGATATTTTGTAAGCGAAGATCATTGGTCGCTTCGCGGAGTTCTAACAAGAGGTTGTGTTGCTGTTTTTCTTCTGTCACGATACGAGTTTAAAAATACGAACCTCTGGAAACGAAAACATTGCTTGTCAATTAGGGTAATTTTATTGTATAAACATTCAATCATCGTCGTTTTTTGCTAAATAATGAAACGTTCTTGCATTACCTGGTCATATTTGATCTCGTACCCAGACCCTTATTGCGTGTTAAGTGTACATGGCCAATTACGTGATTCGAAGACTGGGGGCGAAACTAATGACATAAGTGGATAATGAGTACAGATTTCCTCCAATGGTCAGCCTAAAGGGATATCTGGTCTGCAGGTTATCAGATTACGTGAACCTGATAATAACAGCCAAGGAGACCTATTTCCAAAACCCAACAAAAATGAGGTATACCTTACGAGTTAAAGCAATGGATTGGCGAAAGAAAACCGTAGAGACATTTCTTTGCGTTACTGCAGCCTCTTCCCTGGTCCGTTGAAAACTAGGACCACCTTGTCGACCAATCAGATGTAACTATAACTTTATCACTCCAGGGTTTATCCGTAATCTAACCTACTCCTTCACGTCTTGTGATATTGGCTGCTGTAATTACACTCTCAGTACATTTGAGCGACGTAATATCAGTGTGGTTGAAAGGTGTGCAAGACACTTCTGAAGAACTAATCTGTACTAATCCGGTTAAATCTGGATTCAAATGGGACGATCTTACAAAAAAACGCTCCGAGCCAGAACTCATTCACTCGGAACCTGTGAAAAGTCATATTTTATCGTTTTTGTTACAGTGGTTGATAAAAAATTTCATAGGTATTATTCAAGCAATTTCCTTCTTGCAATTTCCATCTTGCTGGGAAACAAGTACACTTATACGTGACAGTATTGATCTATTTCTCATTGGATTTCGGCATTATATAACTCTGCCTTCTGTCACGTTTCCGGTAAACGTGCGTGCTGTTTAGTAACGCTAGCAAAGATAGCTGACCATGTGAGCAAGCGCGTGCTGAGCGCTGGAAGAAGAGTAATCAAGGCCGACTTCCACATGTCCTAGTCAAAAACACTTCCTGTAAAATGACTCCCTCGTCATATTTCACTGTTCTAAATGAGTTCAGAGAGACTGCGTTTTGGTTTTTATCAGCATGAGAATTAAAGAGAAATTACACAGTATGCCGCTTACTGGCGCAGAATAGAAGAATAACTCACGAATTACATTATGATCTGAACACGCGTTAAGTTATACAGTTTCAATCGTTCCGCATTTTTCGTTTTTTTGCATCACAGCATAGCATCTTTCCCTACCAAAGATCAGTCAGCGGCTATTTCTATTGCTCACGAATCTACCAAAGCTGGTTCCCTCTACAAATTTTAAGTTTGTGAGTTTGGTTAAATCGGGCGGAACGAACATTTTTAAAAAAAAGTTTTATTTCCTCCATAGCACAACAAAATGAGTTCTAAAAAGTCGTGTTTGGAAACAATTAATCTTCGTGGGATAGAATTAACCCTCCTCAGTGCCAGCCAGTACAAGCCGAGGTATTTTTTACCTCATCCAGCGACTTTGACCAGAATCAAAGTCCCAACCAGTAGAATCTAAGGGTAACTTTTCGCGAGAAATCAGAGATTTTCTTTAAGATTACGAGCGTCAGCAAGTCACCTTGATTGTCCTTATTGTCTCGTCCATGCATCTTCGCATCGCACACTCGGATAAGTTCAGTTGGTGTTGATTAGAAACTGACTTCAACGGTAGAAAAACGTTTATCCTTTTTTGACCTTCGGCCTATCTAATATCTTGTCTCGGTGTCAGGAAAAGGAGAGCAGTGAGTGATTGTCAGCCATCAAAACATCATGATAATTTTGTCAGCTATGTCAAGTTAAATTGAAAATTTCCCAGAAAATATCATGCGAAAAATGCCGTCCTAGCCAGGATTCTCTTGGAAATTTGCCAGCCAGCTCAGCTGAAGGTGGGGAGCAGCTATTTTCAGGATTAGGTCTGTCGAACTAAATAGAAAGCAAAGATTTTAAGAGTATTGGACTTGAACTATTTGCGAAGCAAGTCAAACAAATCTTTATTTGCTAAATCTAAATCCCAACACAGATGAAAATGAAAACGCAAGCGCGCGGCCGGTAAATGGTGCGAACGTCACTTCCCGGTCTTCCCTTAGGAATCTGATATGCCCTTTTTTCAGCTTTCCACAGAGATAATTTCATTGAATTTTCTATTCACTGTTTCAAATCTATATTAGAAGTCAGTTTCCCATTCCAGACTACGACAAAGGCCTCTTAGCCCCAATGTTAATCAAGGCACTCGTCCAAGAGAAGAATGCAACTTTTGTTACGTCACCCTAAAAAAATTGCAGAATATCGATTACCGCTAAAGGATAGCAACCTTCTTCCAAAGCAAACCAACAGTGAAGGTATTGACGAAAAGGGAAAAATGACACAATTTACTTTGTGCTGCGCCATTCAAATCGAAACCCGCTCTACCCCACCCCCACCCCCACCGACTCATAGCATGGTGTATCGACAAGATTAAGTCTCGAATAACTCCTTTGGGCTACTAAAGGCATAAGCCGAGACCCAGAGAATGAATAACTTCACGTGTTGCTTACGCTCAAAACTCTGAATTCCTTGTAATTCGCTCTTCTCAAGTACCAATTTCCTAACTAAAGGAAAATCTTCGCACCTACTGGTACACAAATTTGCGTCCAAATTGTCTCACATCTAGCCCCTCCAACCCCGCCTCAGGCAAGTCTTCCGCACCGTACCCTGCTACGAAGCTTTCCTTACCAGTTCGTAGTTGATCAGAAGAAAAATGCAAGGATTTATAACGTAAAGTATTTCTTTATTCGTTAGTATTCTTTTATACAAACCGTAACGACGCAGTCCAATGAAGGACATACAAACATCATACGAACAGTCTCGGTAGCAATCGATCGCGCGCGTGCATGTAATGTACATGTAGTTGTAGTATTTCATAAAATATATACTCTTATATGACATCTTTTAAGCGCTCCTGTACAAGGTCTCGTGAAAAACTGGGTTTGGTTTGAAATTGCTAAGAAATTTACACGTGAAACTCTACCTCACCCGAGCCAACTTTTTCGCTCTTCTAACGACAAACAATCGAACAGCAGTATTCATTCACGATGCCTGTCACTCGCACTTCATCCACATTTCACCATTATTCGGTGCCTCAGTAATTACAAATTTTCATAATGAAAGCGATGACTGGCTAAGAACTAGATAGAAGTGATTGGTGTGCCAAAGTATTCTACAAAGAAACACTGACTATGATTTTAGGTTAATTGCTTTCGTCTTCGGCTGAGTTCGCACTCGATTCGAACGTCGCATCGTGTGTTTAGCGTCTCGACATTTCTGGCAGATGAACACGTCGGGAACGTTCGATTTTCGTATCTTTGCACACGACAAGTGAATCCACGTTAGACACTCGGAACATTCGATCATGGGTCGTCCTGAAAAGCAACGAAACGAATTAAGTCAACAATTCGTCGTTCATGTATGACCAGCTTAAAAATGAACAACAATTTACATTCATAACGATGAAACGATGCTTTTAAAGAGTCCATACGACAAAACACTTTTCATAGACATCATCGAAAATCCGCAAGGTACAGATTTTGAAATAAACTTGAGTAACTTAAAGCTATACTTTAAAAGAAAACTCTACTCAGAAGTGCTCTTGAATCGACTTGAAGTGAAAAACTCGGCCATGAAACTGAGAAACATTACGCGACTGGTGAAAGATGAGTGACACAAAACATCGAAGATACTAGTTAAGCTTTGGAAAAACTTCACCGTTCATCGTAAAGAAAATAAACAGAAAACCTACATTTGGTTCGCTATCAATAAAAGTATAGAGAAGTCGGGTAGTCTATGGTTGGGTGTGAATGGCATTAACAGACCGTATTGCTAGACTAGACAATTCTCTCTCGCGCTCATCGATCACAGGAATATACATACACAAATAGTGAAGAAAACGAAGGACACTACTATCATTTGAAGCTTATTACTCAGTTAGCCTTTATCTCAGCGAAGATTGCAGCGTGAGGTACTCCGGATTTCACATACAGGTTCAGAAAACTGTCTCTGTTAGCTCAACATACATAATTTTCCTCCCACCGTTCGCTACTCGAACTGATTTCACAGTAATTACTGTTTCGTTGGCAAGATAAAAAGAGGAAATACCGTTTCCAGAAGCTCAGACATGCATCAGGCAGAATTTAAAGAGTACGTGAAGTATTTGCATGACGAAAACCAGCGAATGAATAACATGTAAGCTAAATGAATCGATGGTTTGTTGTACCGACGAGGTTTCAAATGTTATGAAGTTCCGTTCTGTCTGTGTCACGTATTACACTGGAGTAATAAAAGACTAAAAGGAACGACTACTCAGGGACAAGTATCTGAACTAAAGCAAAAACAGTGCTTACCTGCGAAAGGTTTTTGGCAGTAACATGTGATTTTGTTCCACGACTCGTCATCTGCGAATAATAAAAGAAAGACATCATTTTGACGACCTCTGCACGCCTTCGTTAAAAAAAAAGCCAGAAATCAAAGAAAACGCACTTAAGAATAGAAACTTCCAGAATTCCATTTTCAGGAGAAATTGAGTGACGATAAATGAGTTGCAATTTCATAGTAACTGTACTTGTACCCACCAGAGCTGTATTCCTCATCAACATCGTCGAGTAATCTTTCATCCCCACTTGAACTAGCCGGTGAAGAAGCTGTTTCACTGTAAGCCGAATCAGTACTCGACGACACGCTCTCTAGCGAATTTGGACTTCTATTGCGCTGACGAACGTCCTGAAAACACAACAACATGAAGAAGTCAGGCAACAAATTTATTCAGAGAACACGTTGAACAACGTATGTGTCATGAAGCCGACAAGAATTTTAGTGGGCCGACACAAAGAAAAATACGATGAAAAGCGACTGGTTCGACGAAGACGTTACTAGTAGGCAGTTTTTGTCGTTTAAAAGAGGAATGACCTGGATGTATGGACCGAACTTGTAAGAGGCACATTGCATGATAAGCTCTATTCTATCTCACCTCTTGCTTTCCTTCGTATGCGAGGATTAGGCTACAAAATGTGTTGAAATCTTCAAGCGTTCTCCGTTTCTTCGTTTGCGGAACAATCTACAAATGTAAATTTGAAACTAGATCAATCGACAAGAAATCTTTGCAGGAATATTGAAACAGAGGGCTTTGAAATTCAAGCAACGAGAAGTCGCGCTTCTGTTTGAAGTGAACAACAATGGATCGACGTAAAAATGAAGCGTTCGAACTCAAGAAACCAAACAACGCTACTCACTGTTCTACCGTCTTGCTCTGGCGGAGGCAACTTCCTTGAAACTGTTGAAAGAGAAAAGAAGCCGTAGAGTAAATAAGACATTTCAAATACCAGGCGTTTTCAAAGCTTGCAGAGCAAACGTTTGAGTCACAATCGAACGTTCGATGTGCCTTCTAACGTAACAGTACTGCATGCGTTAAAACGAAGCCACAAATCCCAAAAATTTCTACCTTTCATGGTGCCAGAGGTCATTTTCGTTGACTGTACCATAAAAAAACTTCGATTTTGTGAAACCCAGCTGATTGTGCAGCGTTTAAAGTCTTCCTAAGAAATTCCAATTCCTACACCGATCGTCAGACTACTCGAAGTACACATCCAAGAAACTTCCCAGACTCCCTTGTGATCGCACCGAAAACGTCACAATAATCATCGGACGAGAGTGCGCTCTGATTGGCCAATACTTACATTCGGAAGCAGGTCAATAACAACACGTGACGAAATAGACAGGCTAGATTACCGCAAATTTTCTTCAAACGCGCGATAATTGTCCTAAAAAGTAAGCGCTACTTTTAGTTACGTCTTCAAGAAATATATATTTGCACGGATTAAAATGAGCTGAAATTTCTCTGCGATGATTACTTATTGAAATAAGCCATAAATGTAATAATTACGAACTCACAATTCAGATGTTGTCGCTTTAGTAAACAAACCGCAACAGCCCCGCCGAGACATAATCAGTGAAGCGTTCCCTAAACCCCACTACTGCTCAACTCCTTTAGGTAACCTGAAAAAGTAGCAATCGAATTATTAAAACCAGATTAAATGAGAAAAACACATTTATCTTCAAAGTACAATTTTACAGTAATGTCTCTTGCTGCGATACATAACTCGAGCGACGAAAATATTTCAGTTCTTTGACATAATACATATTGAATTTCAATCATGCGTGAGGCTTTTAATTATGAATGCCAACTGGTCTAGAATTGAAAACAACCAACACACACAAAGTCTCGCAAGTTAAAAGTTTCGAGCTACAAAAACAATCGTTTAAGTTTACCTGGCACAGCCTTGGTGTTACTGTTCGATCCAGCGAGTCTGAAGGTTGTCACCGGCATTATGACACATCGAAATCTTTCCCGTTTACGAAGCGTTAACTTTATCTTATTCATGACGGTATTATTTCTCCTGCGCATGCGAAAAATAACTTTCGTATTTCACGCTGGCTCGTGGCCTGAAAACTATGGCTGGTTATCGGAAAAGAGGTTGCATCGTTGAAGCTGTCGAATTCATCTATCGCTTAAGAGTATTCCCACCAAATAACTTAGCTTTGGAGACCTTTCTCTCCCTCAGACGGGAAATATTTCACGTAGTAGACGCCGTGGTACTCCTTGGTTGAACAACAGCTGCATACGATTTGGGCTTGCCTTTCACGCCGACATGCCAGCTGGTTATCAAAAAATTTAGCCAATCAGAATGATGTATGGTCTGACCCGCTCTCGTTCCCAGTTTTCCACTAAACGTTAGGCTCCATAGGATTTAGTTAGTCTTTTTATTACTAGTCTTGTTTTTCTCTGCGCGCTTTGAAATTCGTTGCGCTATCGAACTGAACCGCACAAGAGAAATGAGGTAAATGTGGTTTTAAGAGGAAAAATAATTCAGTGTTCAAAAAATGTCCAATGTCCTTAGACAAATCGGGAACGAAGTAGGAAGTAAACCATTTCTTCCTGAGGTTTCTGCTGTAACAGTCTCCGACTTGGGTTTATTTCCTTTGCCAACTTTTCTCTAAAACAGCCGAGGGTAGACAACAAAAGATAGATACTCGTTGAAGCCTTAATGTCGTTTATTGAATTATCATGAACACGATCATCATTATTGCTATTATATCATTGTTGCAGGATTGTTATTATTATCGTTATCGTCATTATTATTTTTTTTCTGCATGATTGCAAATGTATTCGGACTTAATGCTAGTAAGGTTGTTTGGATTATTTACAGTAGCTTCATTTTCTTTCTCGAGAAATGTAGAATTCCTTTGGGAGATTTTTACACTCGTTGGTCTCTTGGATGAGACACAGCTCATCAAGCGTGTACAACTTTAATTTCAACAATAATAACATCCCTACTGATTCCTACAAAAATTGACATTTGGCGTTGATTACAGAGGGGGTTAAGGGAAAGCTCCCTAATAATAGAGAAAATCATTATGTAGATCATTCAATGATCAAATTGCAAGCAAAAATATTTGAACTGAATTTTTATTTTAAAGCCTTCAGACCTGCAATCAAATTTCACACCAACCATGGGTTATCTTAACCCAGCTTTGAAGAACCCGGGCCTGGTGAATTATTTCTTTCCGGAAGCAGACCCATGCACCTACTCGATATCTGTGCCCTGTGGACAGATCAAAGACTAGACTAATGAATTCAGCACTTTTTATAGGATTCTTATGCACATGCCCAGCGAGCCTCCAGACATCTTTCCCACCTTTCATTGCTCAACTTTTATATTCATGCAGCATAAAGTGGCATTGGGTTGTTTCACTCATTTCCCATCATGGGTAGAAGACTCGTATCACATTTTCAGAGTTAGATTCTCTTTTTCAAATTTCTCATTCTGTATTTAGCAGAAAAAAAGTACTAAAAGGAGACTGCATGGACTTTTTAAGAATATGCTTTATTTACTACTAATGCAAAATAATAAGCTCTCAGAAAAAAGGTTAAACATATAATACAAGCTGAAATTTTGCTCAGCCCTCATATCTTTCATAACCAGTATTTGTATAGTGCACATATCAAAAAGAACTCTCATAGTGTTTTCATCACCCTACAATTCTAACAAAAATACTACTACTATTCAAAATCCTCCTATGTCCACCTATGTCATATGTTGTTCAGCAATCCAATGAGATGTAAACATTCTACTGCTACACATATATTTGTAAATTTAAAGGGATTTTTTTTTCACTTAAATCTTGATTATTTAAAATTTCAGTTCTATTATCTGTTGAGATGACAATACAAAATTTTACTCTATTCTGTGTCTGTGGAAGTGTACTATTTGTACCTGTCCTTTGAAGCTGCAGTATGACTCTTCTCTAACAGAAATCTCTTACTTTTGCCAGATACATGAAACTGATTTATGCAACAATGTTAAGATCTGCATTTACAATTCAAAATTCAAACGTATTACACATTTGATAGTCTGATAGTAAGAGCCCAAAAAATTTTAAATTCACATTAAGTATATGAGCAATACTTTAAATCAAAACATAAAGTTGTATCTCCCCATAATGTTTTTTGAAGAGTCCAAAATTACAAACAGAAGATTCAAATTTAATGTTGTTAGTGGCATGCTTTAACAATTCTTACAAGGACCATGTATTCCTCTACATTTTTTTTGCATTGCATAATATGTGTTAAGTCTAGGCCAGGTATTACTAGTTTAGGGTTTTATTACACTGTAGAGCAAAAGTACATCTTTGTAAAGTTAATTGGAGCTTGAATATTTCTTGCCAATATTCCCTTTTTACTTCATTGCCTTCTCTTCTTGCAATATAAATTTCCACACTTTCCAACAATAACTAAAATGGGAACCTTTTCATTTTCTCTTTGAAGATTTGAGTCATTGGAAGTCAAATGTACTTCATTGTTGAGAAATGACCATCATTCCCCAATTTCCATGACTGAGAATTATTTCTAGAAGCACTAATTTTTTTTAATAAGTCATCTTGTTTCAGTTTTACTTGTACATTTCTATAAAATTGTAAAAATGCTAACCAATTTTGGCAATTTTACAGGAAAACTTCAATATTCTTTTAATTTTTTTGTCATCTAAGTATTAGCAATGAAATAGTGCTATTAAACCTTTAACTCCTAAGAGTGACTGGCATCTTATTTCTGCTTCCTGAATAAAGCATTAATATCACAAGAATTGAGGAAAAGATCACCAAATGAAGAAGCTGTGGATTGTTAAACAAATTCTCCTCCTCAGCACCTTAGGAAATTCATGGAGAACAGTATGGAGTAATTTCATAAAAAGAAGCTCCAATCAGCCCATAAGGGCAAAAAAATACCACAAATGTGTTGATTAACATTTCATCTAGCTTTGTTGAGATATTCAGACTGAGATGTAACGTTAATATGCAACTTTCAGACACAGTGTGGTCTGTCTGTGGTCTGACATGTCAACATACTCATTTTAGGGTCCATTTGTGCTTTATTTACAATAAAAACAAAGGAAAGAGACTGCATTATAGGCTTTGTGAAAAATATTTTATTTGCTGCTATTTCCAAAAAAAAACCTCTTCTCATAGTGCCAAGGTCATCACAGAAAGTTGGAAATTCATCATGACAAAAAAAAAGTTTATTATCATTTATCTGAATATGTGACTAATTGACTTTATTAATGTCAGTATTCTTAAAAACATTGCAGAATAAACATTGATGCTTACACAGGAAAGGTTTGTTCCAGGATCCTCTGGACTTGTGTTCATCTACTTATTTACCATTTATCTACACCACATGCCAGTCCAGATCAAAAACTTACCCTTTCTGTTGGTACTCTTTTTACTGTTGTTCAAAAGAATGTCCTCAGACCTCATCAAGGCATTAATTTGTTCTGTATTCTTGGGATCTTTATATTTCAAACTCCTTTTTAAGCTCTAAAAATTAGTTTGGCTTCCTTTAACAATAGTATCACATCTGTTACCTAGTTTCACATGCATGGCAAATTCTGAAATAATTTTGAAATAGATAATATCTATGCTGAATTTTAGATCCTTTCATTCACCACCCAAATATATACTCCATTGCTTTAGAGACAATGTTTGCATCTTTCTGTGGAGTCCTGGCTCCATTGGAGACAACCTGCCAACAAAAAAAATACATGTTTCAGAATTTTACATTTTGTTTTTTCCCCAACTAATATTTAATCCAATAAATGGTTTGAACCTAAGGCGCAACATGTAATAGTTTGGTCTGATTATCCAGGTGAGTGTAGTCCTGAGAAGGACTGATGTTTTGACAACTTGAGCCAAAGTCATCATCTGAGTAATGAAAAGAGACATATGCTCCAGAAACAAAATAATATGTCACTGCCATAAGAAAAAAACAACAAAAAAACTACAAATTTCTTACAAGTAAGCTTAAAATTTTAGCAACTGGCTTCACTATTTTAAATGTAATTAAAGAAACCTGGCTATTAACTTGTGATTCTGTTTCAAGTAAAGTTTGTCTCATATAAAGACTTCACTCAGATTACCTGATGGTCACTTCGAGCTGCTTGGTAAGCGGCAGTCAATGGTCGCACTGGAACAGGTTTACTCGCTGTTGGAGATGTCATCATGGTTTCATTCCTGTTTGATGATAATGGTGTGCTCATATTCTCTTTCCCAAAGGTTTCCATCACACTCTTTAACAGTAAAAAATGTAGCAAGTGTTAAGATGTGCTGCATTTCTTATGAGTCAAAGTTCAAAGAGCTGCTGAATGAAGATTACACTCAATGCAACATCCTTTCTAAACGCTCAATGACAGAGAAATTCAAGGACTGATCATTTAAGATCTGTGAGATGTAGGGGGTGGTATTTTTAAATTTATAACACTTCCCAAACCCCTACCCCCCCCCCCCCCACCCTTCCACTCCTCCACCGAAAAAAGATCCAATCAGAGGATTTGACCCACCAGCTGAACCTGATGCTTAATGCTGGATATAACCCTTTTAGAAACTGCCAGCCCCTCAGGGAACAGAAGCTGGACCTAAAATAGTAAATTTAATGTACAATTTATCTGGACTTGGCAGTGGTTGATCTGTAAAATGCTGTAAACACCAAATCTTACCTTCTCAATACAAGGCATGACACCAACCATAATGTTACTGCCATAAATCTTTCCATTTTTACTGAGAGCCTGAAGAAAACAAATAGTCAGATGTTTAGATATAAGTAATCCTTGCAGCTATGAATGCTACTGAACAAGTAGTTGAAATGAGACCTGAAAAAAAATTCATGCCCATACAGGATTTGAACTCATGACCTCTGTAATACCAGTGCAGCGCTATACCAACTGAGCTAACAAAATTTTCATATATTTCCAGTCATTAGTCAGATCTTATTGTGTAATTTTATGCTGTAAAAGTCATTTTCTACACTTCAAACAAACACAGGCTATCATCAGGTTTTTTCATGAGAGGTATGGCATAAGTTATAATGAGGGAAAAAAGTAGATGAAATAAATATTCCAGGGTTCAACGAGTACACTGAAAAAATGTAAAGATTAGCTATTTTGATCTGCATTTTCAAAAAGATCAGTTTTTAAAATGCTTTGCGTCTATTCCAAAATGCAAAGTTCTTTTTTACTTTCATCTTCTTTGGAGATTTATTGAAAAAGCTTTGCTTTTGCAGGAAAATTTATCCAAATAAGTGTAAAAAGAAGGTCTTACCATTTGAAACAAGTTGCTTCTTGGGAAGTAGCTGTGCCTGATGTGTGCCATGCAGCTGTAAATGGTTAGATAACTTAAGAATCTTATCCATAGTTTTTTATTTTACTCACCTTTTTGGCTTGAAGTTTTGACTGATACTGAAGATGCAACCAGTTCCCTTTGGATGTCTAAACAAAATTTTGGAATCATGATAGTTAGTTTTAAAATACTATCACATCAAATGCACTATTTACATGCATCTATTATTTCATAAGTAGTTCAATTCTGGAAAGGAACAAAATTGACCCGACCTTCAATTTGGATCTTCTAAGTGAAAGCTAATAACTCTTTTAACTCCCAGATCAAATTTGTACTTCTCCTTACTGTCAACCATACACTTGTTATAATGTGAGTTCAAAGAATTTAGTATTGGATCAACTAATCATCCCCACATTAATATTTTTCTTTTTTCTCATCAATTATCTGGTTGATATTGTATTGATATTGTATTGATATTGTAAGGAAAAATCCTGTCTTGGTCACTAATGGGAGGTAAATGGTTAACTACTTGTATTTTACAATAGACTCAACCTCTTGTTCTGTTTTAAGTGCTGCTGCTATGAACACGATTTGGTATTTTTCTCACTCAATTCCAATTTTATATCAGCAAAATACTGATTGTTGCTGCGTTACATTTCAAAAAAAGTCTAAATTTCTTTAGTAATTTCTTGTTTAGGTTACCAAGGTGAACCTCAGTAACCTTTAAATATAAAGTTTCTCCCCTTTACTTGTAACATAAATCAAACATTTGGGTAACATTCTTCCCAATCTACATTAACTATGTCAAATAACTTTTCAGGTTTTCAGACCTTAATTGCTCTTGAAAGGAACTGTTTTTGATCCCTGTGATGATCTGAAAGTCATACTAACAGCAACCTCAGCAAAACTTACCACACTTTTCATGATGTTACCATACTGAGAAAATTGTTGCAGGATAAATGAAGAAGCAGCTGGTGGGAAACTGATTTAAAAACAATAACAAATAAAAAATAATAAATAGATAATAATAATAATAAATAAACAAATGAATAATTAGGAACAAGATTACCAAAAAATTAAAACAAATTTATCTACAAAAATTAAGAAAATGTTTGTTAACTTATAATCTTTTATATTGGGATTATTTAAAAAAAAATTACTACATTAAGCAATAGATATATCTTACCCAAATACTGTTACCCAGCATTCATCTAGTATGTCATCACTTGATATCGCCATCCTAAAATACATGTCACCAAATTGTACTCAATTTTGTTTAAAATTCTTGTGGGTAGACTTTCCATCTGATTTGTCTTCAACTTACTCTGTCTGTACTTCAGTATCAGATAAGGGTAAAATAATCACCATATTTCCTTGAATAACCACCCACAAAATCCAGCATCATGAACCCCTTTGCCACATCACATCCATATACAAGGTATCACATTTCACATTGATCACATAAAATGTGTAAGAATATCTTATTTTATCACAATTGGCAGTAATGTCGCAATCTGATAGACCAATTCACTGTTGTCAGTAAGAGTACAGACAAAACCGCACACATCAATGTGTCACGCAATGGCAGCGCGCCATGGGTTCACAACACTTTGACCACTGTGATGACAAATATCTTTCACGATCAGAGTACAGACCATGCTAAACCACTGTGGATTTGTTAGATAAAAATGTCTATAATTTATAAAAGTTCACTAACCCTTGAGTGTAGAATGGATCAATCTGTGTTGGTGAAGACAATGGGCCATGCTGAGGACTGAAATGTTGTGAATCTACACCAGACATTGTGGCATTACCACCTGGGGTAGAATATCCAGAACTCTTTCTAACAGATGTCATAACAGCAGTGGCCATGGTCACATCCATTTGCTGTAGAATAAATCATAATCAGCAGATGTAATCAGAGATGAGTGAAGCAAATTGGATTCTTATTTCCAAATTGTTCAGAAATTTCAAGACAGTTGTGTATGTTTCCAGGCTTAGGATCACCTTGTTCAATATTCATTGTCAATTCTATTAGCTGTATAAACAGAATTTTTAACTTCTGAAAGTGACTAGCATATAATTTCTCCTGACAGTATAACCCCTGCATCATGCAGAAAGGTCATGGGAATAATGGAAATGATCACCAACTAAAAATTATCTCCATTGATAAACAAATTCTCCTTGTCAGTACCTTAGAAAATGTGTGGAAACAGTAAACAGGAGAATATGAATACAGGACATTTCGCACAAAAGAATTTCCGCACAAGTCTTTTAGCACAAGTTTTGGACCGTTCGCACAATTCTTAGCGGTCATTTCGCACAATAATTATAAGTGAGAAACATCAATATAAAAGGTATACTAATTAATACTGATAAAACATTTCACCTTCACATGTCACTTTCAATAGGATCCAACGGCGAGAAGTTAGACATTTATTTACATAATAACTTCAACTAGATCGAAACGCTTGTGAACACAATCACTATTCATACTTGAAGAAAGGAACAAATCTTTCTCAATGAAAATGAAAAGAACTCCCTATTCGAACGATTACTTCTTTTACTTTTCCTTTGTTAAACAAAAAACCTTTTAGTTTTGACAGTATATCATCCACTACAAACAAATGAACATGACGACCCAACGCTAACTGATGTTAGGGTGTAAAGGGTCACTACTTGGCAAATGATCAAGTGATATTCCACCAGAGCAAAAGGCGCAGGAGATTATTTCATCATTCAACAAAATAATACTAAGATGCATAGATGACATCAGCATTTGCTTTTTTTTTTATAAGATAACAATATAACACAAATAGATTGCATGTTGCCATGAGTATGTACAGTAAAGTAATAGATCAAAGAAGGCTACAAAGTATGGTAAGAATATCTGTGACACACTTGGCTGCAAAATCGTATATGCATTTTTGTTTTTACCACATTTTGAGAAGGGAGCAGTGATACTTGTAGTCACTTCATGCTAAGGAAATTGGGATAAGTTCCAGCTTGGGGGGGGGGGAAACTTGGCTGAACAACACACTTCATCTTTCACCTTTTTTTCTGTAGTACAGTGGCCATAGTTACCTGTTCTCTGTTGAAAGGAGAATTGGTGAAATCTGAACTTCTCGCATCGTAAAGTCCTTCAACAGGAGGTGCACTGATGGAATCTTTTGGAGTACAATCCACAGTAGCTGATCTAAATAAAAAGACAGAAATAAGGTATTTGCAAAACAGGCAAAATGCATGATTTTTCATATATATTTGGCTCAAAGAGAGGAAAAGAGAAAATTAGCCACAGTATGGCTGCAAGATGTGAGGTATTTGTTTTACTTTGTTCTGTTTTTATTTGGTTTGTAATAATATACATGAAAAAAAAAAGCCTGTCTGATTAGCTGAAAATTAGTGGTAACATGTGCACATATAGCATGTGTGCACTGCCAAAATTTTGTCACTCTTGACTATCTGTGATGCATTTTACATGAAAGTATTAACAAGTAACAACATGATTTCTCATGCAGTTTGATGTAAATAAGCACTTGTATTTTTCATTTTTTTTGTGCAATTTTGTTGCTTTTGATATATTTACTTGTGCTCATTTAGACCAAATTGCACTCCCTATTAAATTATTACTTGTACTTATTTTCATTTCATTAGTCTACCTATTTCATCCCTGTCCCTCCATCACTGTAAGTAACATACTAATACATATAGATTTAGCCAAGCCTAAAAGCGGAGCTCACATTTTTTTTTTCCTGCACGTCTCAAGGGCACAATGCCTTGCCCCGGCCAGGACTAGAACCCAGGTCATCCGACTTGGAGCCCAGTGCACTGACCACTGGACTACTGGACAAAGCCGTGGCATTGGCGTGCCCGCAGTACACTTGACCATGCATGTTAAAAGTAGCACCTTGTACGGTCATACAGTCGTACAGTCATACAACCAAATTTTTTCGGCTTGATGGGTTACTAGTATTTTGTATAGTTATGGGGCTACACTCTGCGAGCTCCACTATTAGTTATGAAAGCCCATACTTTATAAGTCCTATGGTTTTTTGGGGCTTCCTTCCCATTTTCTCCAACCTGGTTAGTACAGTGTTTGTGGTTGTATGGCGGGAAAATAAAATTGCTGGAATTATATTCTCAATTATATTTTGGGCCTGTACATTATTTAAGGCAGTATATAACCTTGCAGGTGTCCTGTCTAATTTGTTTCCAAGTCCTTGGGATCTAAGTGGTGTTCCAAATTGATGCTGGTACTGTCGTGGTGATGAGAATGTTCCTGCCTGACCAGGGCTTCCATTGTATGATCCTATAGAAGAGCCCAAAGGTCTTGCTCTTGGGAAGGGCTGTGAAAACAAACAAAACTAAGTAAAATGCCCATGGAATTTAGAATAGGTGATGACATGACTTGCAAATTGCTCTCACCCTTTGGGCTCATAGAATTTTGTTGTCTTTGAAAAATCACCTTGTGCTTATCAACACCAAATTACATTCGAAATCAAGTTACTCCTTGTTAATAATGTACATGAAAAAAAACATCACGGAAAGTCAAGACAGACGAAATTTTGAAAGCATCTGCACGCTCTTTGTAATTTGCACTCATATTACCACCTTGCACTCATGCTACAACTTTGCACTTGGGTCACATGAGAATGACCTCATTTTAAGCCAATCAGAAGCAGGTAATTTTTTCATGTGCATTATTATCAGGGTTAAGCAGCCTATTGGTAAATTATTAACAAGAGATCTCTCACTAAGTTACTAGGTTCTAAATGATATGCTGTATTTGGAGTTCTTTTTCTCTGTGCATGTCTGTCTTTCACCAAATGACACCATCGTTCATTCAATTTATCATCCTAGGACAAGGAAATTGATGAGGAAATTTTATCACAAATCGCCTTGAAAATTAATAAATCAAAAGGGTAGTCAAAGGCAAGAGTTTGTTGGTAGTAAGTAGCATTAATACGTAAAATATGGCGCCAAATTTAAACAAATTACAAATGATAATGAACAACTCAAGAATAAACGAATATTTTTCTTAGAGAGGTACATACAAACAAAATCTAAGTGATCAGGGATCATTAACAAAACAGCAATGAATCGATCAAAGATTTAAGTTACTCTTGAATCTAACATACCGAAGCAGCCGGCGAATTGCCGCCAAGGAGATACTGCGGCAAATAACCAGGAGATGATGGAGAACTCATGTGATGCTCGTGAACTGAATAATCAGAGAAGAAAAGAAACGGTAGTCATACTCAATGTTTAACTTGACAGAGCGATCTAGTGGTGTTTTACCTTGATGATCCATGGCGAATTTGCTCTTTCCTGAAAATCGAATAGATTCCGATTCACCTTGCACAGCGGACTTTGTTAGAGAGACAATCCAAGATAGAATAAGTGAAGTAGAAAATGTGGTTGCGCGTGCGCAATTTGCATTGATATGTAGGCTGCCATTTTGATCGTGAATCGTGAGGGTGGTGAGCTTCATTGCGGCGTGCAGTTGCGTGTAAAATGACTTTCCTAAACCGTGCCAATCAAAGTTTTTTAACCCATGCCCGCCTCTGGTATCTTGTAGATGCGAAGGATCAGGTCAATGGACGCTTAGCTTCGTATCTAAGCCAAGTTTTGCAAGGAAAGACAAAACCTATATACCATCATACAGATGATGTTGGTGATTACGTTGTGGTGATCAACACGAGACATATTGTTTTATCTGGTACCAAGTGGAAAAATAAACTTTATCGTCATCACACTGGTTATCCGGGTGGATTAAAATCTATAACTGCAAGAGAGCTGCACAAGCGAGACGCTACAAGGATCCTATGGAGGGCTGTCTATGGAATGCTTCCGAAAAACAATCTCAGACCTATTTGGATGAACAGATTGTTCCTTTTTGAGGACAATGAACATCCGTACGCGGAGAATATTTTTGCCAAATTGGAAGGCCCAGCCCCCTTACCCAAAAGACTGGAAGAGTTCACAGTAGAGGAAATCGAAAACTATCCGAAACTCTTTTGATCAATATTTTGGGTGCTAGCCCTCGTTAACTCCAACCATCATTGCCTTTTCAACTGTGAGAATGTAATTTTTGCAGAGATAACATCAAGATGAAAAACATGATGAAAGTTTTGACTTTACATTTTCATGAGTCAATGGATGACTTTAGCCGTCACATGTGGTGTTTGGCTCACTAGTTATATGCACATGACATGAAAAATAACAAGTACAATTCATCATTTCATGGTCAACCACTTTATCCCATTTACCTAGTAATTTCAAATAAACCGTGTTTTTTTTTGAGGCAATGACACAATTAAAACCATGAATTAACCATCAGTTGCCTATTATTTAATTTATTATCCTGTCGTTTCCTGTATATTTTGTAGTTACATGTAAGCACCTGATGTCTTTTAATTTACTTTTAGTGGTTCTTGCCACAGAACTCCGAGGTGCTATCCAACTTTCTTGCCATAACCCTTTCAATTCGAAGATCTTGGTAGTAATTCTCCTCACTGCCTGCCATATAATTCTTATGATGTTATTTTGGATAATTTGGTTATCAACTGATAATTTATATTTCTTTTCATTCTTACTTGTCTGGTTGCATTAGAGGATTAAACAGTGTGTAACATAGGAAGGTTCAACAACCTAAAAGTTTCTTTCTTGTAATTTAAAACAGTCTTAATTCCTCCTTCACAATGGCTTTATCAGGTCCTTAGTAGGATTCATAATTTTGGGCCAGATTAGTCTTATTTCTCCCCTATGACTTATTTTACCTGTCTGTGTTGATGAAAAGTTCACACAGGAGCCTGTGTATGTTTTCAAGTTGCTGATGACCCAAAAAATAAACTGTAAGGCTCAATGACCACCACCCTCTCAAGTCCAGTCCAGGTAGTAATCTATAACTGTGAGGGGGGGTTGGAAACTGCCACTGACTTCTTGAACTGCAGCTATTAAGCCAAATTATGTTAGCATGCGAGGCAAGAGAATTCTGCAGTGTTTTTTTTTTAATTTGCTGATTAGAAAAGCTTTTTCCATACTTGTCATGGGTGATTCCAATTCTTGGAGAAAAAAAAAACTTTAGGCATAACAAAGAAACTCCATAAAAATCATGTAACTAAATGCATTGTTTTCTTTTTCTTGTCAAAAAAAGGGAAAAAATTAGTGATTACATACCACCTTTTCAATGCCTAAAAAGTGACACAATAACCATTCATGCAAGGTTTGTGCTTATTTATTGACAATCCCCATAGGCAACTGGTCAAGTTGCCTGGAAGTCATCTCACCCCAAGTCAAGTGGGGAGGAACCTTAGTCATGTCACCTGAAATTTTAGTTATGTCACCCAAACACAAAAGTCAAGTTGCCCAAAGAAACAAATAATTGAAAGAACAGACTTTCTGACTATAAATAAGCAATAAAGTTGAGAAATCTTTATCACCAAAGCGATGTTTGTTTCCAATAACACCATGAAGATGATGGTCAGAATAGAAATATGTTCCTCTGACAACTCTTAAAGTGTTGTTCGCTTCTGACAACAAAGGGAAGCTCTGTTCATTTCTAATAAAAAAATTAAGCATTGTTTGTTTGGTATGTACTAGTTTCATACTCGCAGATGTTTTGTAAACTTGAGAAATCTTACCTTTGTTTCTAACAAAACCATGAAAAAACCCTACAACTGTTACAAGAGTATTGTATGGCTCTTTATTGAGTACACATGTTCAAAAGTAACTAGAGTTAAACCACACTTTCCCAGAAAATTAGTTGAGCCAACACATAATACATGTATGCTCCACCAAAACTGTGCTCTCTTAAGTCTAGAATGGGTCATCCCTTGATTTGGGAAGACTGATGTTTTCTGTAAGAAGTTTGGCTTTAGTAGTCAAAGAATTACCTTTCACCGTTCAATATTCATCAAGCTTTTTTGTCTTAGAGTGAACCATCAAAAGTACCGTTTGCAACATCTACCATTTTGGGGAACTTTGCTTTCTTGGTGTCCAACTCTGTTTGCGCCCACAACAACAGTTTTAACAAATTAGACAACTTGGGTGAGGTTTCTCTGTGTTCTGCTTCCAGAATGGCAGCATTCAATTCACTAGCAACTTTTTGTCTTTGTGAAGTACACAGCAATTCACCATATGGTGAATCCTCAGGGTTATCAAACGCCAGCAAAGCCATAGTTCGCTCTAGTTCTTCCAGGAACTCGGGAGATTCGTCGCCCTGCTCAGCAAGCTGGTTTTGGGCAAAATCAACAGCCGATTCAATGTCTTTTTCACGAATTAACTCGATAAGGCGTTGTTGCTGAAGATGAAAATACAGATGCGGTTTGCAGTCGAGTATCTCCGGGTTTAACTTGTTCGTCAGAGCGATTGCTTCTTCGATGTCTCCACGTTGGACAGCGGCTCTTATTTTAATCCTTTCGTCGAGATTTTCCAGAGGAGCACAAGGCTGCGTGCCGGATTCCATTTTAAATTTCTCGGCAGCCTCCTTGAAGCCCTCTGTAACAAGGTAGTCCATGATCAGACGGTTCATGTCTGCTCTCTGAAATCGCATGTCTGTTAACTTTGTCATCCACTCCTCTCTATTTCCTTCTTCTCCTTTTTCTGCCTGGTTCATCTGAAAGGAAAAACAGCTTTTCTTCGCGGTACAAAAGTCAGAAATTGTTTCAAAATACAACACTTCATAAATATTGTTTAGACAAAATGGCGGGTTGCGTTATGCTAGTTACTGCGCATGAGCGAAGCTAGTTTCAAATCGAGGCTACTCACTCGTGTCCTCTTTCCCTCTTTGCTCTCTCGCGATCTGAGGTAGGCGAAATAGCATTTGAAATCGTCCACCATCCTAACTTTAAAGTAACCATCAGACGATAAATTTCATATGAAAAGGTTCTTTGATAGTATTTTTTTCCACTTTGCTCCTTTGCCTTTTTATATTACGTTTATCTTAGATTCAAGCAATGTCTGAAGTTTCTCGGTATCAGGAAATCTTTACAAGTTGTTATTATTTCAACATTCGAGCAGTGAATTTGGCTTGGTTTAGAAAATGAAATAATTAGTGATTTCAAGGTCATAGTTCTATGTGAGAATATGCTTCACCATACAAAAATACAATGGTTTCAGAATTTTTTCTGTCGTGGTGCACGTTTGCAAATTCTGTATCTGTTCATCATTTTATGTTCGGAACGGTACGAGTTAGTTGAATTGTGTAGCAAGTGCTTAACATAATCTAATAACGGGTTGTTCTCTTCTAACGTGTTATACAAGAACCAATAATAACTACTTCTATTATTGACAAAAGCTACGCTACATTCTGTGTCGTTCCTATATCAATCTCAGTGGGATGACAGCAATGAGCAGATCACTTCAGAAATTTTTATCGATATAGTTGTTCTGCATATGTGAAACTTCTGCACAATGAACACAAGTGCATCTCAAAAAAGTGAACAGATGAGCATCTTGGCATTCTTGTAAAGGTGAAAATGTGTCAAACGAAGGAGATGAGAAATGAGGTCTAATTGTTGCATAGTCTATGACTACTGTCTTTCTTCATTGTTGCATAAATCCAACTACCCAATGTGCTTATTTGTATGTTCGTTAAAAAAACTAAGTCTGTGAAGAAATTATTGTTATTCTCAGATAGATAATAGCCTTTAACTCTGTCTTTAGGAACACCAATTATGATAATTAAATATTCAGTCTTATGGTAGATCAATTACAAGGTTCTGGGAAACCAACTATAGTATTTGTGGGGCTTATTTGTCAGAGTCCTACTGCAATGGTTATAGTTTTACCCTCGATTTCAAAATATGACATTGGGCACTGTGCCAAGCTTTAACCCTTCAAATTCTAAGGTCTGATTGTCAATTCTCCCCTCTAGCTACTAAACATTTCCTTGTAAATAAGTTGCGAGAATTTGGTGTTAGATCTAGATAACTTCTACCTGATAAGTTTGAGTATTCTCATGACCTGTTTTCTGGGTAATGTTTTGTTATTATAGTGGGAAGTTACATTTTGATCACTTTTGGGAGTTTAAGGGTTAAAATTCAGTTTGAAGTTCTCATGACTACCTTGCATTCTGATTGGGAGAGTTTCTGTTTTTGTCATTATTTACATGGAAGGTTCAATGTTAGATGGTTCTATAAGTTCACCATAAGGGAGATTTTATACTTAGAAAATTTGAAGTCCCAGATTTGAGCCATGTGTTGCTCAGCATGTATCATATATGTGTTAAAATTATTGTATTTTTGGATTCAAATTTCCAGCTGACCTAGGACAAAATGGGAGCATACAAGTACCTTGAGGAGCTTTTCAAAAAGAAGCAATCTGACCTTTTACGGTTTTTACTCCGTGTACGATGCTGGCAATACCGCCAACTCAATGCCATTCATAGAGCCTCACGACCCATGCGCCCTGACAAAGCTCGTCGTCTTGGTTACAAAGCCAAGCAAGGGTATGTGGTTTACCGTATCCGTGTAAGACGTGGTGGACGCAAACGCCCAGTACCTAAAGGTGCAACTTATGGTAAACCTGCCAACCAGGGTGTGAACCAATTGAAATTCCAGAGGAGTTTAAGATCTGTGGCTGAGGTAGGAAGTCAAAGCACTCTTAAATTTTCTACTACTTAAAAGCCGATTTTTATTTATCAGAAAACCCTGACAGGGAGGTATTTTCAGGATATCTTTCAAACTGTGACAAGTTATGTGGACAGATGAATTTGTGAAATTGTAAACATTCTCAATTTTTTGGGATAGTTGACAATGAAATGGTAAATTGAGAATGTTTCTATTTCCTTTATGTATTCCATATATTTTTGAATAATTTACTTCAGTTTTGTTTGTTAAGGATGATGGTGTTTTAGCCTTAGTCCTGACAATTTCAATCGAGGGGGCTTATTGAAGTGCTGATTTCTTTAAATTCCTTGATGAGTAGCATATAGCATTTTCTATGAGTGGAAATTTAAACTATATTTGTAATAAATAGATCAGGGGTACTTGCCAAGGGAATTTTTTTAAGAAGAGAGATGGTTTTAAATTCTTGTTCTCAAAGCTTGGCTAATTCTTAGCTCTAGCAAAAAAAAAGTTGATATCTGCCTGCCTATACAGAACACTTGAACCTAGGGAACTTTGTAAATGGTTGAGGCATCTGATAATCATGATATGACGGTCCATTGTAAGACTTGATGACTCGCCATGAATTAGGCCATGCCCCTTCACTTACTTATGAGATATGAAGAAGTGAAGGCTCAATTCAAGGGAGCCTTTGGTTTTTAACCCTTTCACTTCCATGATCTCATCAGTAATTCTCTCTACTGTCTGCTATATAATTCTTATGATGTTGCTTTGGAGAATTTGGTATGGATCAACTTGCAGTTCGTTAATTTGTTATTTTTCTTTATTCTTAACTCTTGCCTGATTGATATTGTGTAGATATTGTATTGATATTGTAAGGAGAAATTCTGTCTTGATCACTCCTGGGAGTTAAAGGGTTAAGACTTCTTAAGCATCCAAAGGAACTGAATCCTTCTGTTGGGACACAACTTTTAGAATTAGTTCTCTCTGCTTTACTGTTATTTAACAATAAATAATGGTGAGTTCAGTTAACTGATGTTTTAATCTAAAACTGTTTCACCAAATCCTTGAGCAATCTCAGCATGTGGGCTGAAGGCAAACCTCCCATGTTTTGCTGCTTAGGATTTTTCATTATTGAAATACAAAATTTGTGGGAAGAATAAAAACTTGTGCAGATTTCCTCAACACTTTTGACAACCAAGTATTTTGTTCTATGCTAGCCAATGGGGGGGAAAGAAGCTGTCATGGAGATACGGTCAGAGCTTTGGATTGACTGAAGAAATAAGCACATTGTGCCAACCCTTAAACCACTGATGTCATTTGAACTGTATTTTACAGGAGCGTGCTGGTCGATACTGTGGTAGCCTGCGAGTCCTGAACTCCTATTGGGTGGCTGAGGATTCCACTTACAAATTCTTCGAGGTGATCATGGTGGATCCCTTCCATAAAGCTGTTCGTCGTGACCCAAGAATCAACTGGATCTGCAAACCAGTACACAAGCACCGTGAGCTCCGTGGGCTGACCGCCGCTGGCCGTAAAAACCGCGGTATGCGTAAGGGTCACGGATACAACAAGGTGATCGGCAGTTCCCGTCGTGGATCATGGAAGAGGCGCAATACGCTGTCTCTTCGCCGATATCGTTAATTGTTTGATAATGATAATAAAACCAGCAACTGTACTATTTTGTCGGTTTATTGATGTTTTTTAAGAAATAGCTTTCTAGGGAAATACTTACCTAGCGGAGAAATTTTTTAGAAAACATCGATCACCACTTTTTTTATGATTTGTTGTCAGAAGTAGGAAGTTTGCTTGAAGTTTACCCACTAAAACGACTGACCTGGGCACAAAAAAAAATGCTACCGTAGGAACTTTGACCTTACTTAAGTATCCTTAGTACAGGTTCTTCCCCATGCAAAATGTGAGGTGAAATAAACAGAAAAGAAAGGAAAGAAAACTCCTGGGACTAGGGTATCCCTTTATTTAAAGGCTCAGATTTGGCATGGCGAATCTTTCCTTAGTATGGTACATCTCCAATCGGTAGAAGGGTATTAAGTCTCTGGATTGTTTTCTGAAAGGTGTCAAGCACCAGTTTTTTTGATCGGCATTTGTCATTTTATGAAAAAGGAGTAGTAGATGGAAGTGACCGAGTTCTACCTTGTACTTTTTATTCCATATGGCATATTTAAGTAAATATTATGAGGGTTTCTCAGTAGCGGCTGCCCATCTATGGTGTAGTAGATGGTATAGGGGCCGTACGGCGAAATCCAAACACAAGCAGTCTCGGCACTTGGCGTTACGAGTTCATTAGGCAGCGGTAGACCAGTAATCGAATTTTAATAAGGGGATCGACAAACTCTTTGGATGCACCCGCAATCCTCTCTACAAAGGTGTGTGGATTTCAAGACTGACTTTGTAGTATACTATAGTTAGGGAAATTACAAAGGAATGAGTTATCGTCGAGATACAAGAGCACATGACATTCAAGTCTCGTTTTTGAACTTCAGAGTACACTGCGCCGCCTGTACTGAACCGAGTCATGTTTAGTGTTCATTTCAGTCTAAAGCCGCCGTCAGCTCTCCGTTGCTTCGATCTCTTCACTTAGGAGTATCAGAAAACCTTCATAAAATGGACCAATCAGCCCATTTGAAATTTAGAATGATCGAGTAGGTAGAACCAGTTTTGTGTAATTACACTGAAACGAACTGGAGTACAGTCCACGTTCTAAATTGCTTTGATTGCTTTATCAGTGATATCGGACCAAGGGAAAAGCCCTGTTTACTTTACATGGCTTTAAAAAACATTGTTAGACAATTTTCTCGCAAAATTATCGCCTTAAGGATTAATTGGTTATCGACTAGCAGTTTTTGAAAGTGCATACGCAGCAACGACTGAAAGGCTCAATAAACGCTTCGGTTTTTCGACCTTTACATACTTCAAGTTAGTCAACAAACGTTTGACATGCGAAAGAACGGCTAGGAAGAAGACTATGTCTAATATCAGTGGCAGCGGAAAAGTTTCTTTACAAACCGATCACTTCGGCGTGAACCGATTGTCATGTACTGCAGTAGCTCTGGTACAATTTTAGCCTGTTTCAATTTTTCTTTATAAGGTCAGTTTTATGGTAAAACTGCTAAAATTGTTTACTTGCGTTTAAATACTTAAAATTCCCTCTTTACTTTTCTTTCAACATTCACCGCAATGCTTTATTCCGGAAATTAGCATTTTGCTTAAAAAATATTCGCAAACCAATCTTATTATTATCTTTGGTTGATACGAATCATTTTGACACCAGCAATACTGAAACCGTTCAGGCAGACTTTTTTTTTCATTCGACGTTTCCAAAACGAATCAATTTGGAAAAATAATCACCAGCCACTGAGTGTGAAAAGCATCTTGTTTTCTTAGATGTCACCGTCTATTACTTTAAGGTAACTTAGGTAATCGCGATGGAAAAAGATTGTTTTTGTCTCCGACAAAAGACAGCAATTTTACGTCAACAAATTAGTGTTTTTCCGCTTAAAAGCTGCTAAAAGCTTAAGAAAATATTTTTTGACGAGATCACGAATTTCACCAAAGAAGTATACCGCCAGGAAAACCATTCACTTCACGAAAGCGATTCCTCGATCGTTATATCAAGGAGAAGTTGCTTTTAAAAGGTTCGATTGCAGTAGTTTAATGTATCTGAGAACTAATTTTCTTTAGAACGTTATCAAATCCGATGTCGTTTAAACAGCATACAATATTAATAGAGACATTCAAATTGGGAATGGAAAATTTAGAGGAATGCCGGCGCGCCTGGCTGATTGTTTTTTTTTTTTTTTTTTTCGTAAAGCTTCGCGACGCGAAAATGTGTCTAGAGCAACAATGCTATTGTCAGAAATGTTTATAGAATTGTTTCTGAACTTCCAGTGTTGTTTCTGAGTTTAACAGCTTTGCTCTTAAATTTGCGAAGTTTTCCGCGATTTATTAAGAGGTAAAAGGTGGAATTGACCATGCAATTACCCTAATTTCAATTGCAATCGGATGTCGGCTATTGTTCCTCTCAAGGGAAAACATATCACGAAGCATATTGATCCAATGACTTATGAAATAATTTCAGTTCAATTCCTTTCGCCTCTGAATATAATCAGAGTTAAAAACCAGTCTTTAAGCTTCCAAAACAATTGGTAATTTATTGTTTTCCAAGCCATCAGTGAAATCTCGTAAATTATGCATTATGTTTTTATTTTTGCATCATTTCTTTCTGAGCCAATTTCTTTACTGTTTACCGGAGATTAGATTTGTTTTAACACGCCATTATTGTGTTCAAACGTCATAGACGATGGCGCATTCGCCTTTGAAAGGCATCAGATGGATATTGCGATCGTCCCCATTAAGTTACTTTGCTCTTTCCCAAGCCGCTGCCATGAACACAAAACCAGTAAAGTAACCACGTTCTCTCGCTTCATGATCTTATTAATTTACGCCCTCGCGTAATTTCCTTTATCCACTGAATATCAAATTTAATTATACCAGATTATGCATTCATTTTAAGATACCACGTTGGTGCGAAATTGGAAAAAAGCATGGATTAACTTAACTCCTCTGACAGGTTAGGCCAAAGTACAATGATAAACATGGGTTTTTACCTGGTACAACTGTCACGATTAGCGACGTAATGGAGGCGCTACGGCTCTTTTGTCAGGTCAGTTAGTTGGCACAAAGGACTATTTCCTCACAACCTCACAAACAGAATCGACTGGAAAATTTATTAGGAGCGAAGGGGCTATCCACTCTTCGCTTACAACTCGGAATCCACGAGTATTTGCTATGGCTGAAAACCAATCTACAAGGTACCTTAGTCCATGTCAATTTTTGACTGACTCTTTCGAGGAACCTGAGAATTTGTACATTCACAATTTAATTTGTTCAGTTTTGAACTGTATATTCATGCTGCCAGGCGTTTGTGGAAATGTACTGGTTATTTCAGCAGTGTGGAAAACTCCATCTCTTCAAACTCCGTCCAACGGATTACTTCTGTCTCTCGCTACTTCTGACCTGGCCGTAGGAATGTTAGCTCAACCTTCATTTTCAGTTTGGCGAATTTCGCAAATGGTAGGCGACATAAAAGTTCACTGTGTGGCAGGAGCAATGTCAGAGTCTTTCGGCTGGCTGCTCGCTGGTGTTTCATTGTTTACAATTACTGCCATCAGTTGCGAAAGATTTCTGGCTGTACACCTACACTTACGATATCATGACATTGTAACAAGACGTGGCATTGCCAAAGTTGTCCTCAGTTTTTGGTTAATTTGGATTCTTATCACGGTCATGAGATTTGTTCTCATAAACAGGAAAATTCTCAGGATCATTGCCGTCAATTTCCTGGTGCTAACCTCTACTATCATGTTTATAGCATATATCATGATTTTTAGGCTGGTTCGACGACATCAGATGCAAATTCAACAACAATGTTTCACGAGATCCCAAGCCAACGGCCGTAATCCTGGTAATAAGACCATTGATATGGTTCGATATAAACGGTCTACAATAACCATGTTATACATTTTAGGATTTTTCCTTCTCTGTTATTTTCCATTTTTGGTCGTTATGCTTGTTGAAATTGCCATTGGAGAGACTCTCCAAACAAAAGTTGCCTACTTGTACACAGTGACATCAATTTTTATCAACTCGGCAGTAAATCCGTTAATTTATTGCTGGCGTATGAAGGAAATAAGGATGGCGATCATGAAAGTTATCAATTCAGTGCATGTTAACGCTATCGAGCCAGAGAGGTCAAGAAGTTGCGTTGCAACAAAAAGACATCCTTCTATCGAGTTAAAAACTATACAACCATCGTTCATTACGGAATATAGAGCATTTAGCGAGAGTAATTTAAATACTCAGATTTTCAACTCTATAAAATTTGATGTAAGCAACGACTCGAAATCGAGAGAAGTAAGTTCAGATGAAAATTATCCAACTCGATCATTAGAACGAATGTACAAAAACTGCACGAACTAGCAAAATAACTAATAATTTCCAAAATTTTCAGCTTATGTTATTTAAGGACTCGAAGAGAAAAAAGCATGACTGTGTTGGCAGAACATGAAAATGTTTTGATAACACAATCTCTTCATCCAATAACTTACACTAAAAACGTGTGGGTGAAAAATTTAATAGTTCATTTAAAGTTGTCAAATTTGATAAAAAGGAGTTCAAATTATCGACCCGTTTCTTTCAAGATTTCATATACAGGGTGTGATATTTTAGGATTGTGATCAGTTGCCAAAAATTAACTTTGATTCAAAACTAATCCGAGTATGGGTTTTTATTCAAAGAAGTATTTTTAGTCCTCGTACCTAAAATTGGTCGTTATCTGAATAATTATCTGTTTAAAACCAGAGATTTGCTGGTGCTGTTTCAGGTTTTCAGGTTTCATGGGCGGAAATTTTCTGCCGTACTCATTTTACTCCCGAAGTTAAGACGTAAATATGGAATCCTTAAATATGTACGGATTCAATTTTTAAAAAAACAGTTATTTTATCTTCATAAGAAGTATCGACCTACCTATTCACCTGTCATTATTCATTCTTAGTCATTGTCATAAACTCATCGTTTGGTTAGTTTTGTTTTATTCTCCATAAATACTTTCAGGTAATAATTATCGTCTTAAACGATTTTTTATCCGGAGGGTATTTCAGTAGCCTATGATAACTTAGATACTTGTATCATGTCCCTGGCTCAGTAGCTTAGACTTCTCTTAAAAATTTCATTTTTAGACACATCGTGTCTGTACTTCGCGTCTCTAAGCAAAATGATCTTCGTCGCTCTGCGGTTTGCATCACGGGCTCAGTTTAACAAGACAGTGTTGATTTCTCTTATAGCCTTCTCAACGAATGTCAATGAGATGGCAGAACTTTCTTGTAATCAATGGTCAACTCTTCTCCCTTGCGGTGGAGTAGATCATGTTTATTTGTTTTGACGTAAAAATTCAAGAAACGCTTGGCCTGGGCTGTTCAGGCCAGGCGTTTCTTTTCACTGATGATCTTCGATAACTTTCCATTACTATTCCTTCTTCAGTCTCTTCAGGCTTAGTATTCAAATCAGGGTGCACTGCAGATTTCACTTTCATTTTAAAGCTAAAGATGAAAGGGAAGTAGAGAAATTAGTTGAATTTCTTCATTTATGAAAGGAAATGTCAAAATTCCTCACATTTTACTTAGTTGTCTTACTGGTTTTGCTACTTCGAATGAACGCTCCTCGAAAAAAACGCAAATAACTAACAACGTATACAAACTTTGGAAAAAACTACACGCCTTGAAACTAAGGAAACAGGCAACCCAGCTGCACTTTTAAATTCTTCAAGAATGATTTGCTCTCAGGATTGTTTTCTTGAGATTAAGATCGTCATGATTAAATAAAAAACGGGGGATTACGTTTTGAAAATTCTACGTCATAAAGTTTTCCTTGTGGGTTTTTTGACAAATTTTCTCTGGTAATGCCTATGCTGAATAATTTTTCCTTAAAAAAAGCACTCTTGTACGGAAATACGTCACCTTAAAGATAACGCTTACTTACCAAACAACGACGATGATAATAATAACGGCTATTAGAACAACCAATCCTACACTGATACCAATCACAATCCATTTCCAGCCATTGCTGTTTGGCTCCAGTGGTCTCACTGTTGGGTATTCTGTAGGTGAGCTGGGTTCGAATAAAGTCTCTATATCAGAGATGTTCGCGCCAATGGCTGCCTCGATCACGGGCTTGTAAGCTATTACAATGGCGACCAACGCGTCACGGGGAAGAACTGAGATATTTCCAATAAAAAGACCAGCAGGCTGCTGTACATAAAATGCAACCTGGAGAGAGTCTGATGAGTTGCTAGGGTAACCAGGCAGAAGATGAACCTGGTCAGCGGTGTAGAGGTCTAGGAATGGAGAGCGTCTGACAAGAGAAAAATTAGTTTAATAATAAAGCATCAATGTAGTGAGGGATGGAAATCATTGATCTGCAGAAATTATTCGTGATAATTTTTGGAAGCTTTAACGAGACACAGTAAGTTGTAAAATCAGCATGGAAAAGTTAGTTTTTAATTAAAATCGATTTATAATTACTTATTATAAACCAGTAAAAATTACGGAAGTTCTGCTCAGGAAAGGTCATGGGAAGAAAGGAACTTTAAACTAGAGGATACTGTCTGAATAAGCACTAGATCATGCAGTGCTAAAATTAAAAGAAAAGCGAAAGGAAGAAGAAGTGGGCAGGAGAAATCACTGGGAAGAGGAACACTGGAGGTATCTGCAACCACGAAGGACTCCAACTGAAAAAGGAAGGCCCACAGAAAGCTATGTGCCTTTCATCTACAAAGATGGCGCACCAAAAACAAAAGCGTATTAGTTTCTGTTGTAATCACCTTTTTCGTCGTTTTTCTTTTAGTGAGCACGTTGTCCTGTTCTTACTGCAAAACTCGGATGTAGCAGACGCCAATTTCTCTTTAAAAGATTTATCTCTATCAAAATCCCAATCAACCTGCCAGAAAGAACATGAATAAAGTTTAATATTGTTTTGGAAAGACTCCGTATTCCAATAGAAAACTATTTCAGTTCACTCAGATAACGTTTTGACGGCGGTCTGCATTGTAAAATTAAAACATATCGCTGCATACGAATTTCAGTGACATTAAAGTGCTTTGTAAAGAGCGCGGCCCGCCTTTAATTAGACGCTATGGTTAACATTATCGCATCTTGGGATTTCAGCTCACACATCCAACCGTTTGATTGACAGCAGTTAAAATCACCAAAGAGACTCAAGTATTCCCAAAGCAAAATCTGTTGACGAATCATAGCTGACTAGTTCTTGATATGCAAATTATTATGCCGCGTATTAAAAAACTGGGCACTGTAAGTACATGTCGCGAAAGACAATAGCATTCTGGGCGACTAGTCATGCAGAGAAACGATGTTATGAGAAAATTCATCTGTAATAGATTTCAGGTCATTGGCCATTCGAGATTCAACCTGTTTGGAAAAGGTTGGGCCTATTTATTGCTTGCTAGTTTACTCGCAAGAGTTGGCCATCATAGTTCCTGGAAAATATTCTACACGCGCACTTTTTTAAAGCAAGAAACCGCTATACACTTGTGCAAGAAACCTAATAAGCTTCAGGGCGTACCCTATAACATTTTTTTCATATGATCTGCAGCACACGACGTCATTTCTATAACTCGAGGTACCTACCCCACTTGGAATTGAAAACTGAACAGCTTCTAGCTTCTCGTTTTGGGATGGGACACGTGGCTCAGCCAGGTCTGGTATAGGGACTGTCTCGTTTTTCTCCAAACCTGGGTAAATTTTTAATATGTAAGAAACCTTTGTATAATTACACAAAATATACTTATAAGTTTTCTTCATCACTTTCGATCAGTTTTCGAGTTTTCCAAAGAGTATTTCTTTAAGACTAAATCTCCCAACGTCCTATCACAGGTGCCGCAATCTGATTGGCTATGTACTCATTATTTGCTCCGTTAAAGATAGTGAATAGAGTGAGTGGCCTAACAATGCGCAGTTATGAACAAAGTAAGGAAATGGTCATTATTTATTGCCAGGGGGGAGGAGTTTGTTTGCACCTGATCCTTCCATAAGACTGTGTAATATTTGTATGACCCCCCTGTATACTCTGTTGGCGACGACTGATCTCCTTCCATACCCCCTAAAAATCATGTAATCCCCCCCCCCGAAAAAATCTGGTCCACCCCCTGGCGATAAATAAGAGTGGTTACTAATGTAACAACAAGAGCCTGTCTTATTGTTAAACGCTTCACGACTAGTAGATTGAGCTTTCGATATTTGAGCTTGATATGACTGTCAAGCTCAAAATTCAACTGTCAAGTATCAAAACGCAAAGAGCAGAATGACACTCCAATGCATACCCCAACTTCCAGGAAATTTTCGTCTAAAAATGATCAAATACCTTTGCATTTTCCATCAATAAAGTACAAGTCTTGATCACATTCACACTTGTAGGAGCCACGAGTGTTGACGCACTTGTGAAACTCATCCGTGCAGTTGAACAAGTCATCATTCAGACACTCGTTGATATCTGCATGGCAAACACGTTGAAAATCATTAATTAAGGCAAAAACTTATTTCAAACGGTCGTTTGTCTGTAAATGCATTCATTCTCTACACCTCTTTGCTATCAATTAAACTTATATAGAATTTAGTTATTTACCTTCACACTCGTAGCCATCTTTCTTCAATTCAAAACCCTTCTCACACGAACACTTATAACTTCCTGGGGTATTTGTACAAATCTGATTGCACCGATCAAGTTCTTTAGCTGGATCACATTCATTGATATCTACAGAGAAAAAAGTACAACGGCTTTAGTTGGTGCTTCTATATTGTATTTCAACGTTTCAAGTAACATTTCGTCGTCAGTTGGTATCAGCCACAAACTATCCAAACGGCATCAGTTCTATTTCTTCGTAACTAGGGAAACAAGTGAGAGTAAAGCTGGCACGTATGTATCTTATTGCACCACATGCGTTGTGGTAAATGAGTCTACAAATATAATCTAAATAACTTTATAACTTGTTTAACACTCAAAAGGCTCTTAAACATTCTTCCTTTGGTTCTCGTTCCAAAAAAAATACTGAGAACGATCTACCACTAACTCCTTAAGGTTGAAGAAGAAAATTAAAAGCTTACCTGTACAGTTCTTTTCATTGCTGTCCAGCTCGTAGTTAGCATAACAATCACAAGTTGCTTCATTGCTGCTTCCCTGGAAGCAAACGTGTTCGCAGCCAGGATCAGAAGAACAAGGGTTTTTGGCTGCGAAGTGAAGGGAACAGTCGTATCATAAGTAAATACCGTTGTTTGATGGTGTTGATCCGATATGGCGGAAGAAGTCTTTTTCAACTTGAGCTTTGCCTTCATTGCATATTAGCAGAGAAAAATATGTACGAGGCGATTGTACAAAAGGATTTCTTCCAACAGATGTATTGCTTAGCTCGATCGCTCGCTCACTTCGGATGCCGCAGCCAGCATAAGATGACAGTTTGCATGTTAGAAGATGCCTGATAAGAAATAACATGAGGCCTCTCAGCAAAGACTAACTCACCTACACACTTCCTCCAGTCACTAGGATCAGTTTTGAAAAACTCGTTACATGAACAGTTGTAACTTCCCTCACTGTTGATACATTTTTGCATACAGTCGCTCGATGGATTGCATTCATCAACGTCTACGTGCCAAAAAAGAATATAACATTTGTTTTTTATCATCGAGGGAAACCTTAGGCGTCTTATTTAAGGGGAATGCCAGGACGTCAACATTTCGCCCTCTAAGGTTTAAATTGAGTTTGAATCAAACCAATTCTAAACCGTGATTAGTGCTAGGGAGGACTTGTTGGGACTTTTGTAGAGTGGGTCATTGGGAAGGCTAGCTATGAACTTTACGCTGAACGAGGGCTAAAAAAGATAATTTAAGCTTTAAATTAGGGAATTTCTTTTGATATTTCATGCGTAAATTTGATAGGAAATGTTGAGTTGACAAGTATGATGTTTACGTCAACGGAAAAAAGAAAAATGAACTACGATTTCATTATCTTGGTCTAGTTCCACATTAAAGCTAAGTGCCAGAAATTCTCCTCTAATCTTACCGTAAAGTTTCAGGAGTTTGAAAACAAAAGTCTTACCATCACAGCTGCGTCCGTCTTCATTTAGCGAGTATCCATCACGACACTCACAGAAGAAAGAAGTTGGAATATTGACACATATCTGCTCACAGTTGTTTGATGAATTACTTTGGCATTCGTCATAGTCTAAGGAAAATATTGCATAATATTTAACCAGAATTCTGTGATTGATTTTATCATCTTAGACATCTATAATAATTAATAATTTTCAGAAAATTTCCACGATAAAAAAATGCAACTCCTGACTGACCTGGTGCAACGGAAATTTCAGTGACATTTCTGAGGAAAAGTCGCTCGTTGTTGTCAGGTCGTATATTGTGTTCTGTTCACAGTTTAGGGGGAGGTTAGGCAAGAGGGGGGCGTTTTGATGCAGTAAGTCATTTTTTCAGGAGAAGAAGAAGCAAAATATGTATTAAACATTTTTTGGCGGTATATCTTACACTTACAAAGTTCTTTCCCATGCAGTGTTGTTTTATCTATATTCACCTCAACTCTTTCACTCCCACGATATCATTAGGAATTCTCCTTACTGTCTGCCGTACAATTCTTATGATTTTAGTTTGGAAAATTTGATATTGGATCAACTCATAATTTACTAATTGATAGTTATAATAAAGTTCGGATATAACGCGCGCTGTCATTGGTTGAAAGGGCGTGCTCTATGAGAGTATAGAGCATAGAACTGAGCTAAAGCTGTCACGCCATCTGCCAAATTATTCTATGTTCGACCTTTTCCGGGACTTCTTTTTAGCTTTTTTCCGATAATTGAAAGTGAAATTTCGGAACAAGCGAGCCGGCAAGTAGCAACGGAAGAACCAAACAAAGGTTTGTAAACATACCAGGCGCCGTAATTTACGTTATTAAAACGTGAGCAGATATGAAAATCCTTTAAGGAAAAACAAAATAGACATCCCGAGTTTCAAAGATTTTCACGCTCAGTTAGATTGCAAGCTTAAGTACGGTAATAAAAATCAAACACAGCAAACACTCGAATAGCATATAAAGTTCAGAGTTCAAAAACAAAATAGAACAAAACAGAAATTATGAAAAATATAACCAAACTGACATAACTGTTAAAATTCATACTAATCATGACGGTGTCTGAGCAAATATGATCATGCAGAAGTCCATCGCGGCTTGCTTATCATGACGATCTCCGGTCATCACAGTAAAGCAAGCCTCAGAAACTACATCGGCCGCCCTTCGAGTGAAAAAATAAGAACTCGCTCTGATATCCTTTCCGATGCGTTGAGTGGAAAGTCACTTCAGTCACTGCAGCCGAGTTTTGCGACGCTGTCATTCCGAGCGATCTTCATGTTCCGGTGAATTCGGTTGTCGTTCATTTAAAAAACACCGCCTTGAACAGTTTGTTTTTTACCTTGTCATGTGAAAAAAATTGCGTTTTTTATGAGCCATAATTCGGCTGAAGTTCACTGAACATTTCACTTGAGGATTCTGTATTAAAAACTTCAAGCAAAAGCGTTAAATTCGACTTGCCGAACTATTTTAGTTTGTAAACTATCTCAGATTGTGAACTTTAATGGTTTTTGAACTTTGATGGTTCGACACTTTTGACAGCTTTTGTCTTGTAGAGCCAATCAGACTATTTGAACCATTCTAACAGGGATTCTGATTGGCCTATTGTAGCATGCTCTATGAGAGTATAGAGCATGCTGACGACACTGTTGTTCGCTTTGGAAATAAAGTTTGTTTTGAAAATTGAAAGTAATTCTTGGGGAATTTAACGGATTCTTTATTATAAAACAAATAGAGAAGCTTTGACTGTGCTCTGTTCTGTTATAAAGCACTTAGGAAGCGGCTAGAGCACTCAAGAAGTGGGGGTTAGGGTTAGGGTTTAGGGTTAGGGTTAGGGTTAGGGCTACGGCTCGTGTTTCTCCCTACACTTCTTTCGTGCTCTAGCCTTTTCCTGCGTGCTTTATAACAGAACAGAGCACAGTCAAGGCTTCTCTATTTGTTAAATATAAACAATAGCTTTATTTGGCGCGAAAATATACGAGCACACTTTCGCGCAAAATAGAGGCTATTGTACTTATTATCCTTCAAATATTTTGCAACACGCGTGAAAATGTTCACGAACAGTTAACTGTTTGCTGCGTGGGAGGTTTTAATTTGAGTGTTCTCTGGTACGATTTTATGAACAAACAAATATTTCCCTCTTCCGCAACAACCCTGAGACGCTCTCTCATCCTGAATTAATTTTTAAATGACGACTAATCGTGGTGGACGTAAGGTTTGAAACTTGGGGAATATCACCTGGGTGATATCCTCGGATATCCTGTCACGTAATATGTTTAGACCAATCGTGCACGAGGAAAAATATTAGATGGATCATAATTTTCGTCATTCCCATTACTTGTCTGCTCGATATTGTATTGGTACTGTAATTAAAATTTTGTCTTGGTCACTCATGGGAGTTAAAGGATTAAGGAACATTCTATCAAATAAAACCCCTAAAGGTCTGCCCGACTTGAACTTTATTGAGAAATCTACAAGTCAACCCACCAGTACACTGAGCTCCATTTCCAGTGTACCCTGATGGACAGGGTCCACATTTATATCCACTGGAATTAGCTGGTGCAGGAAGATCAATACACTTAACTCCCGTGTAACACGGCTGACCATTCATTTCGCAGGCGTCAATGTCACTGTCACAGAACCTTCCTGTGTATCCTCCCTGACATGCACAGCCCATGTATATAAACTTGTTATCAGTGTTGGCTGTGTCGCCTTCTTCTGGTTCCACGCACTGACCACCATGTTGGCAGGTGCACATTCTAATGGTTGGACTCCAACTGACGCTTGCACCTTTATCGTCAGTAGCAACGAAGGTCATGTTAAACTACAAAGAAAGAAAAACTTCGTATGTGGATTCTGCCCCTTTGTCGATTTGCCGGGGTTACTTTTTTAGAGCAAATTGAACTGTAATTCTGCAAAGAAAATGTTTAACGAAAAGGTTTTCAATTGAAAAATTTACCTTTTGTGATGACGTTACGGGCCAATGAAATAACAACATGTTTCCAGTCTGGTTCCACGTGGCTCCTGCAGGTTTGTTTATCACGTGAAAAGTAATGGAGCCCTCGTCCTCAGCTGTTACATTCAGCTCAACTGTTTCGCCAAGTGTGGCATTTATCAAATTTGAAGCGTTTACTATCTTAGGCGGGAAGTTGCCTGTAAATATTCCAAAAAAATGAAATATGCTTAGCTTGAGATATACAAGTGACTATTCTTCGAGTTTTAAATCCCAAAAAAGTTTCGTAAAGTCGGAATATTCTGATTATCATCATATTGTCTAATGTCTAGCACTTATGGAATCGTTGTACATCTACTCGCGTATTCTAATCACATCTGTATTAGGTCAGTCCAAAACATTTTTTCAATAAAATATGGTCCTGCGTTGTTTGCAAACGATTTTTGCTTTTATGTCGGAGAGCCATTTTCATAAATGGTTCGCGTAAAGGAAGCCACTTAGGAAGTCAAAAGATAAAAGGAGAAAAGAATTTGAACTCCGAGAAATCTCCAATGACCAAATCGACATTTTCTCCTGAACTCACCCAGTGTATTCGACTCGTTCACCAGCTGGACGCTTATATCTTTGGTTACCATACCAACAGACAAGTCGTTGGTGGAAGCCACGTCAAACAGACATTCGTGATCATCTCCACATTGTGCTTCAGCTTTCTGTCTTAGACTGTCATTATGCCACGTGATGTTATCAGCAAACATGGGCTCAAATTCAGTTTTCGAATAAGTGGCCACGCTTTCATTATCAGCGTAAGTGAAGAGAGACTGGGATTCGTTGATTTGCCCTAGGAGATATTATCATTAATTAGTATAATTGCTCAGGTGATTATAGAGATGGGCGCGCTCTGATTGGTGGAGAAGTGCGTCATATCACGCCATAGTCACCTTACGCGAGGTGATTATGGCAGGAACGTTAACCTTCAGAGAGGCTGTCTCGCGTTTTGTCAATGTTTTCGCGGAAGTGATGAACGCGATAGCAAAAAAAAAGGGCAATTGCGAAGAGCACAAAAGATGCTATTGAGTTAGGCGGAACACTTTTCAAAAAGAAGATATGTTTTTTTTGTTTATTTAATTGAGTAAACCTGCCAAACTTGATACGAGTAATCACCACAACTGTACCACAATATGCTCAATACTTTCTCTATTTATACAACAGAATTCGAAAGTACCTGAACAGTTATACAAATACAATTATTCGTCCCAGGCTCAGTGAACGTTGTTGAATAATCCACTCGGCTACGTCCCTGAGATTATTCAACAATGTTGACTTCGCCTTCGGCGAATAATTGTTAAGTAAGGAAAGAATGGGTTAGATACATTTACAAGATACGAAATTATGTAAAAGTAAGACTAGTAAAGTTAAAACGGAACGGATAATATATCCTCCCATAATCTGCCTGTATGACTAATAGAGCAAGCTTATATTTTTATTTTTCTTCTGTTTCTTTATTTTACCGCCAAACGTTCTCAATTTTAATTATACAGCTTGATAGATATAAAACTGCTATCAGCAAAAAAGTTATGTCTTTCAAAATGTGCTGAGAACTTTTCGCTTTCCTTAGAGTAGCGACTGCAAGTAAAAGAATTGGTCTTCCCTTATCCCAATTTCTGGTTCATTAAACAACTAGAGATCTCGTCTCTCCTCCTTAATGAAATTATGGTCCGTCACAGGCTGCTTGAGCTTCTCTTGAAAGTTCACTGGTAATCATTCATGTTTTGTGTCTGCAGTTGCAAGATCTCTTTTAAAGGGCATGGTCTTTACTCGCAACGCAAGCAACAGCGCAATAACACGCGACGATCATTCGCCGTATAGTAGTGCCAAATTCGTTGTGACGAAGTTTAATGCGTTCATGTAAAATAATATGGTACTTACATTTGACTCCAAATCCGTAGTGAATCTCTTTTAATGATGATGTCGATGGCAAAACCGTCCCGTCGGGCAGTGTAAAGTCATCGTCAGGGTCATCGTTCCATGTTCCCAGCAATCCTTTTGTGGCGTTTTTCAAGACATCACCAAGAGTTACAACGAACGACATCATTTCCTTATTCTCGCAGAACTGTACTGACGATGTCGACGGGAAAGAAACTTGTAAACAGTTTTCTTCTGGTTTTGAGATGGAAAGATTTCCACCAACCTCCACAGTTCGATTTGTTAAATTGCTGTAGCCATTATAGGGTGTACTGTCAATCAATATATGGAAGCCACCTAACAAAATCAAATCGCAAGAGTTGGATTCTATTGGCTCTAAATTGAAAACTACCTTAAGAAACTCTTTATGGTGGTCAATTTTACATCATCAACTCAGATGATAAAACCAAATTTTCCTTGTTAAACTCCACAACGACGCAACACAAAAGTTTCTTTACAATATTACCCCTTAAGAGGTTTTCGTTTTCCTACCTGACAAGCTCTTCATAGCATTCTCACCTCCGTCTTTCACTCGAACCTCGATGGTGCTCGAGTTTTTTTCTTTAGCAGCTCCTGCTGAGAAGATGGTTGCTGTGGTTGAGTTTCCTTGAGCAAGTTTTGTTCTGGCCTGAAGATTAAATGTTCCATTTTCTGCATCCACCATAGTGTATTCACCAAGACCGTTAAACGTGTAATTACCACCGTCCAGTGTCTTGATATGAGGATCACCCCAGAACCATCCTGAATTAAAAGAGAAACACTCCTCTTAACTTGCTTGTGTTACAAAGAATCTGAACTATATAGAGTGAGTGGTTTGAGTCCAAGAGTAAAAGTTGACAAAGCTCTTTCTAGACAACTCTCCAATACATAACAATTACGAAAGGTAACCTTTAATTCCAATGTAGTTTTAGATAACCCGTGGCTTAAACTGACAAATCAAGAATAACATGACAAGATTTACAAGAGATGACAAAGGATGATACAATAAGGTTTCGTACCTCTATAATGTAACTATCATTATCTAAAACTCACGTCTAATTGGAGGCCTATACAGCCAGCAGCTATCAGACGGACGATAAGCATAGAACCAATGGCAGAAAGGTAGATCCACACAGCAATACTGGTAAGCCTGTTCATCTGTGTAAAAGGTTTGGACGTGATTGTACCGGTCATAGAAAAGTGTCACTTTTACCCGTCCACCATCAGGGGGTCCCTGCTTGAGAGAGGCCCAGTCTTCCCACTGCGTGGAGTAACAGCACTGTTGTCTCATCAAAACACCAACTCGTCCAGCACTCCTGGTGTCGATATAAAAGAACTTGGATCTCCTGGAATCAAAACACCAATCTGGCCACGAATTCCACCAACTCCAACTGAATCGTCCTCGATCAAACCACGCCTGCCACCCTGTACAAGGGCAAGCCATTTCCCAGTCTGATTCTATCAATCGGTAATACCAGTAACGGAATTCCAAGTGTTCATTAAGTATGGCCCAACTAAAGCATTTCTCCAGTGCACCTTGTCCGTCGCTGTTTTCAATTCTCCAAAAGTATCTTCCCTGCAAACCCGTGTTTCCTTCCTTCTTATCGAGGTCGTACATTCCAAATGTACTAGAACTACAATCACAAACATTTAACTCAAAAACCTTCTTTCACTATCGTCATTTTTAGTAATTAGAATATAGGGTAGAGATTTCTATCGGTTCACAGTGAGTGAGGACAAGAGTCGAATAATCTTTCGCGCTCAGAAATCAACAGCGAATAAATTAATTTTTATTAAGCGTTTGAAGTTGTCCTTCTGTAGCATGTTGATTAAATAGATGATTCGATTGAGGCCTTGAGTCACTGTATTTCTTTTTTGTTCCAAGCTTTCGCCGATCTTCGGCATCTTCGGGGAATGTCTGATACCGCAGATCGGTGAAAGCTTGGAATAAAAAAAAACATTAGTTCGAGGCTCAATCAGATTATCCATTTAATTGTTATTGCATAGATTTAATGCTTATTCAAAACTTAACACAAAGAAAGGCGTAACTTTTTATCAAATAATGATACAAATAAATCACAATTTTAGTCTACTCTCTTTTCTCGCTAACTATCATAGAATAGATGGCGAGTGATGTAGCCAATCAGATTGCATCACTCGTAATGAAACGCTAACAGAATTATACTGGTTATAGAAGTTATATATACATCGAGTTTCGGGGCTCTGCGAGAAATTTCAGATTAAATTTGAAGGTTTACACCTATCTACACCAATTACAGCAATTCTCCGAATTGAAAAGTAAACCAATTTTGAAATTGTAAAGAATCATTGAGAAAATTTCACGCGTAAACATAACCCTTTATAAGTCGGTTACGTGGATGAATATTCACATCCATTGGCTGCTTAGCTGGCTCTCTCATATTGGGTCATGTATTACTGCCTTTGTGGAAGAATGTGCGAGTTCCAATCATCCTGTTTATTTTTCATTTTCATACGCTATTGACTGATAAAGATTGTTTGGGATATTCAGATCTTTTAATATAAATATGTTCAAATTTGATTTATCCTACCCTTTCATATTGATATAATCTTTGCCATCGTTCCCTGCATTCCAGCCAGCCACAGGAAGACCATAGTAGTTCGTCCAGTAACGGTAGTTATTCCTACGAATGGTCGAAAAAATCCTTACTGTTACGTATTTTCTCAACTGTTTTTCCCGGTCGCATGAATTTCTGGTACTTCGGCGATGTCCTTACTTCCATCACAAACACATTTCAATGTTTTTTTTATTCTAATCAAAAGCAATTCGTAAGCCCTTGAATTAATTTCATCAGATATCATATTGTCATATTGTAGCTCTTTGATAAAAAGTACGGATGGTAACTAGGAAGAATTAGTAAGCCAATTTGAGACCAAGAAATCATTAAAAAAAGACCATAGTGTAATCTAAATTAATGTGTTAGACATAAATATCAAAGAATACCGATGGGACCTACTAATGTCAGACAAAATTTGTAGTTATTTCGTGTTTACTTATATGCAATTTTAATATATATTTTTATATTCTGACTTTGGTTTTCATTTAGGAGAGGGGCATTGGGGCCTATTAGAAAACGAAAAACCGTGGAAAAAATCATCCAAAACCGAAAAACCGAAAAAAAATTCGATCAAACCGAAAACCGCATGCAAAACTGTCTAAACCGATACATTTTCAAATCCCATTTATCAAAACCCTGATCGATCCGATACAATGGTGACAATTGGAGCATTCAGAGTAACCTACACTAATTTTATTACAGGATTTATGAATGCCATGGACTTGGCATTCGTATCTTCTAGTATCTGCTTAAATTAACAGCTGCTCTCTTGAGGACCTCGGGCGTGGTCTCTGCGGACTCAGCAGTGGAAAGTAGTTAAATTAAGGAAATTCGCACAAAAGTCCTCTATAGGATTGCAATTTTGAAGTCGCAAAAAGCTATAACTCTGGAAAGTTTCATCGGAAATCCCTAATCCAACATTTCCATTTGCGAACTACGAAAGTTTGGAGATGCTATTGGAAAGTTGAATCAATCAGTCATGTGCGGCCTGTAACCCGTTCACCAACTTCGAGGTGGCGTTCATAAAGAACCTCTGGCAATGTTCTGTGCTTAGCCGTACCCTACGTGTAGCCGTACCCTCCCCTCCCCCCCACCTTGGGGGAGGGGGCGGAGGAAGGTTCGGCTATGCGTTGGCTATCTAGGGCCCCCTGTGATATTTCAATTGGTTTGTCTCGCATTCCTCTCGATAACATTTGCGTTTCGCGGCTATTCGAGATCAGTGGAGGAAAAACGAAAACCCGTTAGTATTTTTCGCGAAAACCGAAAACCAAATGCTAAAAAACGGAATATCCGCAAACCGCAATGAACACCAAAACCGAAAAACCGATCTAAAAAATAGCTGAAAGCGCAAAACCGAAAATTCCAATGCCCCCCTCATTTAGAGGCGTAGAAAACTTACGGATCTGCGTTGATCACCCATTGAATTCCTCCATAGGGATAATTATACATCAAGAATGTGTTAAATCCATTCGTTATCAAGACAGCTTGGAATGTGTTACTCTGGAAAACAATAAAAACGCAGGAACAATTCAGATTTTGATATTTTAAACCAGACATAATTATTTCCTGATAAATGTATTTTATCTTAAATGCAACAAGTCAAGTTACTGCTGTACGTTATACTTCATGACTCATACGTGCAGTCATCACTTCTGGGTTGATAATGTTAATGAACTACGTGGAGTATAGTTTAGGGAGTCATAGGGATTGTTACTTCGAATAACTTGCAATTTTCCCCTAAATAATGGCAGGCAATCTTTAAGTTTTCTTCTTTTGATGTTCGGATGTTAAACATCTGTTAAGTATGGTCAATCTTTCCCCAACCCGGTTTGAGCTCTCGCTAAGCCGACAAATAAAACAGAAAAAAGAGAATAAAATGGAAATCCCTGCTGTTTTTCGTATTTTTGTGCTTTTTCAGGATTTGACGAATTCGTCAAACCAAAAACTCAGACACTGTAAGGTCCAATTGAAAATTAGCAACTATATGTCGTTAACTCACATGGTTATCTTGGAGTTATGATAATTAAAAAAAGTGTAAATGCTTACTCGAGGACAATTGAACGGAAAACCCTGCTCGAAGTAACTGTAGTAATAGTAGTATGAATAATACACGTATGGACAGAGCTTTTCCCACGTCACAACAAGGACCCAAGTGGCCGCAAAGTCGTCAAATCCTGCGGTGTAGCTCTTTACATGCTTTGAAGCCATAGCCAGAATTTCATTTGACGTTTCTTCCGTTTGTCTATACACTTGATAATAAACCTTTGAATGATTGTATCTGAATGCAAAATAAGTATCAGTTGTGGCCCAGAAGGGAGCAATAATACCCATGTTTCTAAACCACCAGTAGATACCAAATTTCCGAGGCCACCACCAGCTCCACTCATAATTCAATTGGATTATACCATTTCGACAAATCTAAAAAAAAGGTGGTAAAAGAATGATAAACGAGGTTTGTAACATTGCATGCAAGTATACTTTTAGAGCAACCACTTCTTTCGTAAATTACTCTAACCCTCGGCTGCCAAGTTTACCTGGCGAATTCATCATTAACAAAATGATCAAAATAAAGACTGCTGTTCCCCAACTGGGGCGTGACACATTTACATTTGTAGCATAATGCATTTATTTTGTGACAACGTACGAAGAGATAAGCATATCTTTTGGAAACTTCGCTTCTTATTTTCCACCCTTGTCTCTCAATCAAGACATACGCTCGAAGAGCTTCATATGTTTTATGGAGAAAATTTTCAAATACAAAAGGGCAAGAAAGCAAGATGTCTCTTAAAAATCTCTCATAACAAATAGATGACCGAGTGATTTTTCTCAGGTAGTCTTAGGATATTCATTCGCTTTGGATTGGAGCAGTATTACTCTCATTTTCTTTAAAATTTTCTCCGCGCACCTTCAGCGCAAAAAATTTATATTGGTTGAAAGGAAAATCATTCAGTTTAGTCTCTTATAGGAAAATTTTACTCACGTATAATTTGTAATGCCTTTCTGTGAAAAACGGAAATCCAGTCCAATCTGTGTTGATCCTCAAACATTGGTCGGAGGAGAAAGAAGTATCTTCAAGACGAAGTTCATAATCCTTCTGATCTGGACCGTGAGGATACAAGTTGCTGGGGATTTCTTTGAATTAAAACAAAAATTAAAACAAGAAGTACATCAGTGACCTGCTCCATGACTTTTCTGGACCGCACTATTATATGGCATATTTCACAACAGATAATTTAATTATGGCTTCATGTCGGAACCACTTTAAACCGAAATAACTTTTCCTTTCTTGAAACATAATGACAAGAAGCTTGGCAACCATTTTCTCCAGTTTTTCGGTATACTATGTTATTGCACAATTGGTGTGGTATAAGCCTTTAAAAGAAGATTATTAAAGGGAGACTTCTTTCTTTATTGGAGGTGTACTGCAAATCAGAAATTTCAAATTAAGCCATGGTAGTGAAATATGTGTGGGAAATGTTTTGTTGTCCTCAACATATAAAAACCAATCAGAACATTGAAGGATTTCAAAATTAAAACATAAATTTCCTTCGCTGTTATTAGTTTCAAAAGAGAAAACTTATTTTCATTAGAGTTTGAGGCCATCTGCAATAGTTTCGAATATTCTGGCGAGAGCAGGTTTAGATTCGATGAATTCACATAAAAAGGCACAGAAGAAATGCTTTCTTACTTGTTGCAGCAGCTGAAGAGAAAAAAAAAAAAAGAAACGCGATTATTAGATGCAAAGTATGTTATTTCTATGAGAAGAATCTCATGTATATCTGATTCTTGTTAGAAGAATACTAGTTTTTTCCCACTGGAACAAAATTCTGTAAATATATACTAGGTAAAGTATTTTTTAGCAATGTACTGTACTATAAAGAATAATTCATGGAAAGTCTGCCCGTATGATATTTACGCATGTGACGGTAGTATCGGAAATCGAACGAGTGAGATTTCTGATTCAAACCTACGAGATCGTAAATATCATATGGGCAGACTTTGGTGTAAAGTGTCTATTATATACATATGGAGATTTAATTCTCGTAAATGACAATTTGTTGTTCATCAGATTTAAGTTAAACTCTCATAAATCGATCATGAAAGATGTAAATCATGTAAATTGCCTTGTGTGAAAATCAACAAAACACCTGTCAACACTTGACACAAAACTTCTTAAGCTTAAGGGTTCATAATCTTCTCTGTCTTTTCGTCAAATGGAGCGAATGAACTCCTCAAGATACATGTTCAATTTCCTCGTTCTTTCCGTCACAAAAATGATTTGAACAGTTTTAAATCTCCCTGCTTTGTTTTCTCATCGTTTTCTCTTTTGAGCTTTTTTTCTGCATGCTTTCTATTCCACAGAATCCTGCACAGAAGTACCACAGTCATCTTTAGTAAATAACTTGGCATAAAAAACAGTCCTGAGGGCGGATTTGAAAAAACATCGCGAACAGTCTGAAAAGCGAAATTCTGCCAATGAAGGTTGAATTACAGTCGCTTTACATGTGAAAAAATATGATACGCGGTTCCCTAATTGGACGTATCGTTTTCCTCACACGTGAAAAAAAGCGATACGTACCATTTGATTGGCTCTCGGCTTCTTCGACCAGCTTTCAAATGAAGATTTATTTCGCACCTATTCAGTCTGTTAAATCTCAGTATGTACATAATAAAATACGGTACGTGTAAGAAAGGAACGTAACACATCTTTAAGTAGGTTATGAAATACAATGTACTAGTGATTGTGTTTTATGCTTTTTGTTCCAAAAAGTAACAACATCAAGAGCAGACATGGTTTGATGCTACTCTGGTTTACAGATTTAATGAATGTAACCAAAGAAGTTACAATTCATAGACCCAACGTTTAGACACTCCTGTCTAGTGCCTTCATCAGGGGTAATCTAAACGCTACAACAAGAGGTCTTTTTATATAATCACTAATTAGCGGCCTTTTTTCTGACGAGGTGTAAATAGGCGTCAGGAAGCAAACCGCCATCGTCACGATTTAAAGGAGCGTGGGCGGAGTTAATATGCCAAGCCTCCAAACAAAGGCGCTAGTGGTAACGCCGATTAGTGGTGATAATTTTAGAATTATCCCACCCAATTGTATGGTTAGTTAGGCAAGTATGCTCCGATAAAGCTGAATTTTCCTTTTTGCAAAGGAAAACCGCTTTTTGGTGCTATTTTAAACGTGTACCAAACTGACGTTCCACGTCCAACATGGTAATGGAAGACTTGGAACAAGGGGCCTTAACCACTTCACCGGTTAAACCCTTTTTCTGGAAACGATATGTCGATGATGTTATTTCTGCGGTATCCGGAAATGGTAGTAGTGATAGGTAGTAACAAGTGCAAATAAGGTAATAACGCTTATCTCAGAACTGTACACTGAGGAAAAAACGGTACGACGATTACCTTGGAGAGTTACTCAACTGCTAGTAAATGATTATTCTAGGTTAGGAAGGAAGAGAACTATGAAAATCTCTGCTTTTTATATTCTTAAAGGAAGTATCGCCTAAAAGGAATAGGCTATCTAAGCCCGAGTTTAAGGAAACGACTTTCGTGTAACCTGAAACAACTATGCAAAGAATAATATTGCGCAATACTTCCCAAGAATGGCGACTTGAAAAAATACATTTCACGTTTGTTATTAAACGGGACAATTTACGAATGATGAAATACTTACGGTCAATATGGCTGCTTGAAGTTGGAGAGATACTATACACTGAACTTGATGTGGCACTGCTACTCGAGGTAAGTGAGACACTAAAGCTGCTGCTACTTGAACTTACTGAAACACTGGAGCTGCTGCTACTCAAACTTGGTGAAACACCGGAGCTGGCGCTACTTGAACGTGGTGAGACAGTGGAGCTGCTGCTTCTTGAACTTGGTGAGACACTGGAACTGCTGCTACTTAAACTTGGTGAGACACTGAAGCTGCTGCTGCTTGAATTTTCAGAAACAGTAGAGCTGCTGCTACTTGAACTTGGTGAATCGCTGGAGTCACTACGACTTAAAATTGGTGAAACACCGGAGCTGGTGCTACTTAAACTTGGTGAGACAGCGGATCTGCTGTTACTTGAACTTGGTGAATCACTGGAGCTGTTGCTACTTGAACTTGGGAAGACGCTGGAGCTGCTACTGCTTAAACTCAGTGCTACAATGAAGCCGCTGCTATTTGAAATATCTGAGACAATGGAACTGCTTCTACTTGAGCTTGGTGAAAACACGGAGCTGGTGCTACTTGAACTTGGTGAAACACTGGAGCTGCTGCTACTCGAACTTGGTAAATCACTGGAGCTGCTGCGACTTGAACTTAGTGAATCACTGGAGCTGCTGCTACTTGAACTTGGTGAGACACTAGAGCTGCTACTGCTTAAACTCAGTGCTACGATGAAGCTGCTGCTACTTGAAATCTCTGAGACAATGGAGCTGTTTCTCCTTAAACTTGGTGAAACCACGAAGCTAGTGCCACTTGAACTTGGTGAAACAATAGAGCTGCTGCCACTTGAATTTACTGAAACACTACGGCTGCTGCTATTTGAAGTTGGTAAATCACTTGGGCTGCTGCGACTTGAACTTGGTGCGACACTGGAGCTGCTGCCACTTGGATTTACCGAAACCTTGGAGCTGCTGCTGCTTGAACTTAGTAAAACACTGGAGCTGCTGCTACTTGAACTTGGTGAAACAATGGAGCTGCTACTGCTTAAACTCAGTGCTACAACGAAGCTGCTGCTATTTGAAATCTCTGAGACAATAGAGCTGCTTCTACCTGAACTTGGTAAAACCACGGAACTGGTGCTACTTGAAGTTGGTGAAACAGCGGAGCTGCTGCTACTTGAACTTGCAGAAACACTGACGCTCCTGTTACTTGAACTTAGTGAAGCACTGGAGCTGGTGCTACTTGGACTTACTGAATCACTGGAGCCGCTGCTACTTGAACTTACCGAAACACTAGGACTGGTGCTACTTGAATTTGCTGAAACACTGGAGCTGCTGCTACTTGAACTTGGTGAAACAATGGAGCTGCTACTGCTTAAACTCAGTGCTACAACGAAGCTGCTGCTATTTGAAATCTCTGAGACAATAGAGCTGCTTCTACCTGAACTTGGTAAAACCACGGAGCTGGTGCTACTTGAAGTTGGTGAAACAGCGGAGCTGCTGCTACTTGAACTTACTGAAACACTGGGACTGGTGCTACTTGAACTTACTGAAACACTGGAGCTGCTACGACTTGAACTTGGTGAATTACTGAAGCTGCTGCTACTTGAACTTGGTGAGACACTGGAGCTGCTGCTACTTGGACTTACTGAAACACTGGAGCTGCTGCTACTTGGACTTAGTGAAATACTAAAGCTGCTGCTACTTGGACTTGCTGAAACACTGGAGCTGCTGCTACTTGAACTTACTGAAACACTGGAGCTGCTGCTACTTGAACTTACTGAAACACCGGGGCTGGTGCTACTTGAACTTGGTGAAACACTGGAGCTGCTGCGACTTGAACTTGGTGAATTACTAAAACTGTTGCTACTTGAACTTAGTGGGACACTGGAGCTGCTGCTACTTGGACTTACTGTAACACTGGAGCTGCTGCGACTTGAGCTTACTATAATACTGAAGCTGCTGCTGCTTGAACTTGGTGAAACACTAGAGCTGCTGCTACTTGGACTTACTGAAATACTGAAGCTGCTGCTACTTGGAGTTGCTGAAACACTGACGCTCCTGCTACTTGAACTTAGTGAAGCACTGGAGCTGGTGCTACTTGGACTTACTGAACCACTGGAGCTGCTGCTACTTGAACTTACCGAAACACTAGGACTGGTGCTACTTGAACTTGCTGAAACACTGGAGCTGCTGCGACTTGAACTTGGTGAATTACTGAAGCTGCTGCTCCTCAAACTTGGTAAGACGCTGGAGCTACTACTTCTTGGACTTACTGAAACACTGGAGCTGCTGCTACTTGAACTTACTATAATACTGAAGCTGCTCCTGCTTGAACTTGGTGAAACACTAGAGCTGCTGCTACTTGGATTTTCTGAAACACTGGAGCTGCTGCCACTTGAACTTGGTGAATTACTGAAGCTGCTGCTACTTGAACTTGGTGAGACACTGGAGCTGCTGCCACTTGAACTTACTGAAACACTGGAACTGGTGCTACTTGAACTTACTAAAATACTGGAGCTGCTGCGACTTGAACTTGGTGAATTACTGAAGCTGCTGCCACTTGAACTTGGTGAGACACTGGAACTGCTGCTACTTGGACTTACTGAAACACTGGAGCTGCGGCTACTTGAGCTTACTATAATACTGAAGCTGCTGCTGCTTGAACTTGACGAGACACTAGAGCTGCTGCTACTTGGACTTACTGAAATACTGAAGCTGCTGCTACTTGGACTTGCAGAAAGACTGACGCTCCTGCTACTTGAACTTAGTGAAGTACTGGAGCTGGTGCTACTTGGACTTACTGAATCACTGGAGCCGCTGCTACTTGAACTTACCGAAACACTAGGACTGGTGCTACTTGAACTTGCTGAAACACTGGAGCTGCTGCGACTTGAACTTGGTGAATTACTGAAGCTGCTGCTACTTGAACTTGGTAAGACGCTGGAGCTACTGCTTCTTGGACTTACTGAAACACTGGAGCGGCTGCTACTTGAACTTACTATAATACTGAAGCTGCTCCTGCTTGAACTTAGTGAAACACTAGAGCTGCTGCTACTTGGATTTTCTGAAACACTGGAGCTGCTGCGACTTGAACTTGGTGAATTACTGAAGCTGCTGCTACTTGAACTTGGTGAGACACTGGAGCTGCTGCTACCTGGACTTACTGAAAAACTGGAGCTGCTTCTACTTGAACTTAGTGAAATACTGAAGCTGCTGCTACTTGCACTTGGTGAAACACTATAGCTGCTGCTACTTGAACTTGGTGAATTACTGAAGCTGCTGCGACTTGAACTAGGTGAATTACTGAAGCTGCTGCTACTTGAACTTGGTGAGACACTGGAGCTGCTGCTACCTGGACTTACTGAAAAACTGGAGCTGCCTCTACTTGAACTTAGTGAAGCACTGGAGCTGGTGCTACTTGGACTTACTGAATCACTGGAGCCGCTGCTACTTGAACTTACCGAAACACTAGGGCTGGTGCTACTTGAACTTGCTGAAACACTGGAGCTGCTGCGACTTGAACTTGGTGAATTACTGAAGCTGCTGCTACTTGAACTTGGTAAGACGCTGGAGCTACTGCTTCTTGGACTTACTGAAACACTGGAGCGGCTGCTACTTGAACTTACTATAATACTGAAGCTGCTGCTGCTTGAACTTGGTGAAACACTAGAGCTGCCGCTACTTGGATTTTCTGAAACACTGGAGCTGCTGCGACTTGAACTTGGTGAATTACTGAAGCTGCTGCTACTTGAACTTGGTGAGACACTGGAGCTGCTGCTACCTGGACTTACTGAAAAACTGGAGCTGCTTCTACTTGAACTTAGTGAAATACTGAAGCTGCTACTACTTGCACTTGGTGAAACACTAGAGCTGCTGCTACTTGGACTTAGTGAAATACTGAAGCTGCTGCTACTTGAACTTGGTGAATTACTGAAGCTGCTGCGACTTGAACTTGGTGAATTACTGAAGCTGCTGCTACTTGAACTTGGTGAGACACTGGAGCTGCTGCTACCTGGACTTACTGAAAAACTGGAGCTGCTTCTACTTGAACTTAGCGAAATACTAAAGCTGCTGCGACTTGAACTTGGTGAATCACTGAAGCTGCTGCTACTTGAACTTGGTGAAATATTGGAACTGATGCTATTTGAAGGTGATGAAAAAAAGAAGCTGCTTTTGCTTGAACTCTGCGAAACAATGGAGTTGCTGCTACTTGAACTTTGTGAGACAGTGAAACTGTTGCTACTTGAGCGTGTTGAAACACTCAAACTGCTGTCTGTTCTAATGATATTAAGGGTGCTGCTTGTAGAGATGGTGTAGCTATTGCTTTCCGACGTTTGTGAGATACTGAAGCCTCTGCTACTTGGATCAAGTGAAATGCTGAAGCTACTTCTCAATAATAGTGATGAGGTTTCTTTTCGAATAGTTGAGCTCGGTGACATAAAATAACTGGTACTGCTTAAAACTGAAGAAGGGCCGTATTTTATATAACTTGAACTTTTAAGGGCACTCAAACTTCCGATAGTAGAACTCACAGACTGGCCATAACTGCTGCTATCTGAACCTAGGAATTCAGCGAGGCTGTTAGTGGTAGTTAAACTATGATATGATCTTGTATAAAATGCAAAAATGTGATGATTGTATAATAATTTGCGAGAAATGAGGTAGTCATTACTGATTATGATTCCATTGTATTATTAAACGAAATTCTTAGCTGAATTGTCTCCCCAGAAATTTCGGAGGACTATAGATTTGAGAACTTTAAACTACTACGATTCGGCATAATCCATCGCAAAAAGGTTTATCCAATAGAAATAGCAAGCGAAAAAAGATTTTCAAGTGAGTATCAGGGTTTCTGTTTCCATCAGAATTCACCAAAGAAAAACTCGAGGTTGCGTTTATGTGTAAATAGTTCATTTTCCCTGGAATAATCTCTTTGCTATGGAATATGCCAAAGGAAGAGAAAAAAACCACATATTATTACCAACAGTTGATCAGTTTAATGACAAAGGTACCTACCCGTCTGGTAAATCGTCGATGTTGTAGTGGTGCAAGGACAGTAGCATAACAAAGAGCTAGAAATGCTGGAACTGGCAGTGGTCGAGGATAAGAAATATAGGTACGAACTACTTCCATCCCTCCACGAATCGTCTGCAAATGACGAGGAAATACCAGACCCGGGATGAGACGAGGACGACAAGAACTGGGAAGCAGTCCTTGCATCACTCGATAGACCATGTAGCCATGAAGAACTTTTCAAGTTCCTTGAATCAGGTCCACAAGGGCAAGTACACAAGGATTCTGAACTGGAAAATGCTGTCAAACGGATGACAATACGAAACAG